GCAGAGCGGGCGTTTCCAAGGGTGGCCAAGCTGATGGTTAACAGAGGCCTAAATAAAGAACATTTTGGCAATAGTTTTTTTTTACAAGGTTTTGGCAGTAGTTGAGCGGGTTCTTAACGGACACGGTGGAACATGCGGGTGGGAGTGCCTCACCGCTGATTAGGCAAGAGCGAAAAGTTCAATGGCAGAAATTTTGACTGTTTAATATTAGGCTAGCAAAGTGTCCGGGCGTTACAACATAACCAATACGTATAGCTATCGGACTCCATATCATTGCCGAACGTGAGTTGTTCCAACTTATATAAGCGTGGATTTTGAGTCCGAGTCACATAAAAGAATACATAGGACACGACTCAATACGTAATGGAATCAGACGTCTCTTCATTATCTAGGTAGTTAGAGGAGGGTCAGATGAAAAAAATGGGTGAAGAAAAAATTTGTCTCTTTAATATTAGGTATAGATGAGCTAGATAGACCAATATGTTTTGCAATCGGACTCTGTATCGTGTTAGGCAAGAGCTATTCTAACTCGTATAAACATGAGTTATATATATAAGTCCAGGCGGAAGAAACTTTCTATTGTCCGATAGTTAGAGAGAGACGAACCAAAAAAATGGATGGATAAAAAAAATAGCCGGAAATTTTGCTAGCAAACTTGCCCATGTGTTGCAATGGGAGACGTTGTGTGGTTAGCTGAACGATTTGTGGTTTGAAGATTTATTCAATGATAATCACTTGTTTCAATATGTCTTGAGATTGAACTTTGTACCGTGATGTGGAATCAGACTTTATAACGTTGCTAGAAAAAAATAAAAAACAAAAAAAAACATGGAAAATAGAATAGAAAAAACATATTGAAATTAGATTCTATAACGTTGCTGGAAAGAAAGATGAAAACAAAAGAAAACATGAAAAATAGAATAGAAAAAAAAAACTTGCCGTTGGAAGAAAATCGGAAAACCAAAACCAAATCTGAAATCACGGAAGTCGTTGAAAAAAAAACTAAACACAAAATATAATCTGAAACAGGAAAAGAAAAACTTGCCGTTGGAAAAAAAATAAATAAAAATCTAAAATAAGAGATGTGGCGTTGGAGAAAACAGAAAAGGCTGTGCCATTGAAAAAAAAACAGAAAATAAAAAAAGAATGGGAAACCACCGTGGATTAGAAAATAGAGAATGAATTGGAAACTCCTTTTCTGTTTGGATTAGGATTGCTATTGAAGTTGTTTAGGATCGGATAGATCTGTTTGATTAGAATTCCTAATCCAAACTATGTATTGTAGTGGGACAATAAGTTTATTTGTGAGCACCTTTTCCCGGGCAATAAATTTGCATGTACACATGTCTCCTTTCTCGTACTCTTGAGTCTTACATTCACACGAGAAAGAGTCTCAACTGATGGTGCGAGTCAAAAATTTGGAGAGATTTTTTTGCCTTGTTAATATTAGGTATAGATGGGTAGAAGGATTGGACTTGATCAAAATTCTGTTGCGCAAAAAATGTTAAGCTCTTACCTAATACGTTTTGGAATCTGACTCAGTATCGCGCTAGACAAGCTATTCTAACTCGTATGAGCACGGGTTATATATATATGTCGAGACGGAAGAAACTCACCATTATTCAGTAGTTAGATCAAGACGGGCCAAAAAATTGGATGGATAAAAAAATAGGTTAAAATTTTGCCTCTTTATTATTAGAAAAAAAAGAAGTATAGATTATTATTAGGTACAGATAGATATAGATATATAGCACATAACACAAGCAAAACGCAAATCACGTATATAGTATAGAAAACATCGTCAATCAAAGGGTACAAAGGCTGGACAGAGGAAGACCAGACGGGACGAATTTTATATATAAACTATATAGCTACTAGTAGATGCAAAATTTGCTTGCTTCAAGCACGCACAATGTATCTTGCACTTGCTGCAAAATATGACTATGACACCTCCTAGTTTGGTGGCACAATCCAGAACGGTTTGCGGAGGAGAAGCAAGCCGTCATGATATATTGTGAACACGGGTAATCTCTTCGCACTCCGACTCCAAGTCAAAAACGCAAAGATCAGCATCATCTTCCACGAAATTCTTCATGAATTCCTTTTCAGTCCGTGAAGGCTCGCCGGGCGGCAAGACGTTGCCAACCCCGTGTCATCCAGGAGAAACACGGTATCTACAATGTCACGGACCCTGCGCCGACGAGGAGGAGGCTTGCTGGGTGTCGACGACGACGAGAAGTCCATCTTGTACACGCGGATGGCGCCAATGTTGTGAGGATCGACGCCGACGCAGGAGACGTCGACAAGGAAGAGCTGGTCGTCACAGTCGAGCAGCCAGGTCGCGCCGAAGTTCATCCCTTTGGGGAAATCAACCTTGCGTGCATCGAAATAGTGGAACGCAGGGTGGTCTTTGCTGCTGCTTGTTGTGAAGTCGATGGCGCACACGTCTCTAGTTGAGTTGATGAAATAGAACCTCCCTTGGAACGCAGCAACCGTGGAAATCACCATCTTCGTTGGAGGGCGATATGCCTCCGGTAACAATGTCATATGAGTAATGCCTCCAGCTCCAACGAGTACTGGTCTTGTCGTCGTCGTCGTTGTCGATGATGACCTGGCAGTACCACAAGTCAGGCGTGGAAGGATGGAAGGGAGAGCAGGCACCTGCAGGTCTGTGGGAACCTGTGCTCCTCCTCGATCTGTGATATCTGGTAAGGGAAGCTTGTCGCCGGTGAGAGGGTTCCATAGACAAGCCGAAGACACCGCCGTGTCGTCGTCGTCGGCGGTGTCATCATGGCCCTGGGCGACGAGGAGCATCCAGCCTTGTGGCGTGGCCCAGCACATGCTGCTGCTGCTGCTGCCTGCTGCAGCTAGAAAAAGTCCACGCTTCATGTTCGTGTCCAGGCTTTGTTTGAATATGCTGAACATTAGCATCTCGTCTTCGTTGTCCTCCTCTTGGCCGTTGTTAGGGTGATGGTGGAAGACGAGCACGGGCAAAGACGAGGACATGGACGACGATCCAAATTCACTAGCGTCGTCTGCGTGTTCCACCATGGTTCTTCTTCCTGAACGACGGTACGCCAATTAGGTTGCAGCTAGGGCGACAATTGATCTGATTGGAATTGGAGGCTTATTGCCTGGTACCGGCCCTCAGCTATATATATACATGAGGAATTATACGAAGGACGATAATTAAGATCGATCATAAGAATTGTCTAAACTCTTCTACTTAATACAATGATACGTAAAGCTTTTGCGTATTAGAGAAAGAAAAAAAAAGATCGATCATAAGAGTTTGATCAGCGGCCGTGCATGATGACAGGATCATAATAGGAACGGTGTGGTGCAACACCGTGTTGGTTTCCGCTTCCCAAAAGTTCCGATCGAGTCTTTACAACAAAAGTTTCAGCCTTTGGGCCTGTGCTTGAACTTTATGAGATCAAGAAGCAAGTTCAATTTAAATACAATGTAGCTACCTCAATGACTGTAATCCACATGTGTGAGTATGTCACGAATAATAATATTTCATCACAGACTGATTTGTATTGTTCTTTTTGAATAAACCGCACAAGAACAATGAAATTAAACAAACACTGCTACTTATTAAGCAATCAAAGAACACTACTGTTCAAACGAGAGGTATGTGTCTAGCTAGCTAGGTGGAAGGACCCAAAAAGGTTTGCGGCATAGATTCAGGTGCTCATGATGGTGGACTCGAGTAATCTCTTGTTGCTCTGATTCTATGTCAAAGACGCACAAATCCGCATCGTCCGCCGCCCTCTAGGAGGAACACGGCGTCTCCGATGTCACGCACGCTGCACCATGCTTCCGTCGAGAAGTCCATCTTGTACACATGGATTGTGAAGGATCGAATCGGGCGACCAGAGGGGGGGTCAATGGTCGCGGAAGCCAAAAATTTATAACCCTTCCCCTAAACACAAAACCTGACTAAATCACGTTTTTTAAATCTGGACAGAACTCTATGTACCTATAAACCTGATGTGGACGAAAATCCGTAACTCCGATTGACCTAAAAATTTGTCAGATTAAACTAGATGAAATTACGAAACTAACCTAACTGGAATCACGTCAATCTAACTTACGGATCTTGAGATAAAAATAAAACAAGCAGACTATGTCAGATGCTAACGAGAATTGTAAAGAACAAATCGAGATGCACAAGATCAATCATTATAGATTAAAGATTAAATTGAGTAATTGAACTTACAAAAGTGCATCTAGCCTCCGCCCGAACATCCTCCCTCTCTTAATCGGAGAGATCAACAAAAACCTCTCACTAGAATTCAAACCCTAGGCTAGACCGGAGAGAGGAATACTGAACCGTGGAACCCCGGGGCATGAGTACTGTTCACGGGTACTGTTCATGCGTGAATAGTAACTCGCCGGGAGTCAAAAACGTCCCCACCTTCTCAACCCTAGGTGCCACATATTTATATCTTCAAAGGTGGCACGACCTATTTTCACATAACCCCCTGCGCTAAATAAATCCAACGTAGGGGCGTAAATTCCAATTATGTCCTCCATGGCAAATTCCGCGATGTCCGCGATCCCTCCATCTCCGCGATGTGATCCTCGCGATGTCGCCGCACGACCATCCGAAATCGTATCGCGATCGCCAAAATTTCCATCTTCGGCCAACGCACGCCGCACGAGCGTCCCGGTACGATGCATGGCTTTGTGGCTCAACCAGCGAACCCCGGATTTTGTGGCGTAATCTGGAAACCTCCCTCGACGTCCTCCCACCGTGTAGCCAGGTACAGTAGACGTACACCACACGATCGCCTGTCCCTCGAACACAAGCCTCGATTCGCCCTTCTCCGCCCCCACGGTTCTTCGGCACGGCATCCTATCCTCGTTCTTCACTCGTCGCCGTATGTACCTTGTCTCCACCTGTCACCTACAACCACAACCTGCCGAGAGATACGTCACACGCACACCGTGTTGTCAATCGCTCATCACCAAGGTGCTAGCACACCGGCATCTCAATCCAATGTTATCCGCATCAAAGCCAACAAAGTCGAGGAGGAGAAGTTGATGGCGCACATGTCTTCTGCTGAGCTGATGAAGAAGATCTCCCCTTGAACCGCGGCGACGCTGGAGATGAGGTCTTTAGTAGGAGGCTCACCGCCGGGCACCTCGTAGTCACCGATGTCGTACGTGTAGCGGCACCAGCCACCACCGTGGACGCCGCCATCGCCATCGCCGCCGCCGACCTTGCAGCACCACATGTTGGGTTCCTTGTACTCGAAGAGCACGACGAGGCATTCCGGATGGGTTGCGTCTCTGTGTGTGAGCAAGCACTTAGCCCGGTGGGATGTCATGCTCCTCCTCGAAGTCCGGCAGAGCAATCTTTTCCTTTGGTACGAGGGTTCCATAGCCACGCTGTGGTTGCTGAGGATGGGGAGGGGGAAACTACCAGCATCCAGCCCTGCGGGGTGGTCCAGCACATGTTCTTGTTTGCTACGAGGTCAGGCTCCATGTTGGTGCGCAGGGTCATCTGAGATATGCTGAACATGAGCATCTGGTCGTCGTCGCCATTATATATTGACGTGGTTGCTGCGATGCTGGAAGACGAGCAAAGGCAAACAGGACGACATCCTCTAGCGTCTTCTGCTTCTTGGGGCCGGGAAGAGCCGAGATCGATCGTGTGGTCGTAGATAGAAATTGACGGATGTTCTCCGCGTTGATCCTTGGATATTTTATAGGAAGGAAGCATACAAAACCAGAGACGGACAGGACAGCCGGACGTGTTCGTGTCGTGTATATACTCCTACTATAGCACGATATCCCATCCATGTCGGTAGTGGCGTACGTGTTCGTGTTGAACTCCCTTTCCGCGGCAAAGGAAATTAACGTAATGACCTTGCGGCTCTTTACTATTGGAGATCAATACTAAACTGGGCTTTCCTTTGATTGGAAAAGGTCCTCTTGGCCCACTAACTTTCCAGATCATCTGATTTTCCTCCCTCATGATCTATCACTCAACTTGTGCTAAAAGAAAAAGGAAATCTATCACTCAACTTTAAAACTGTCGTTAATTTGCACCATGAATAATGGTTTTAATAGCGATTTTTGCTCACACGGCGCCACATCTATCAAGAGAGCACGTAAAGCAGACTATGTTGATAATTTAGGAGATAAATAGGACTAGATATATTTTTCGAAAAATGTCCAAATATTTTTGAAATAAACTATATAATTAAAATTCTAGAATCCGGTGTAATATTAAATAATTTTCATACAAAATTTGCTTTAGTCCAAAAATATATATAATTAGTTTCACATTTTTTTTCTAAAATCATTCTCTATCTTATGGTGCCTAAACTAGAATTAATTAAATCTTATATGGACTACTTTTTGTTCTTATATAGTCAGCCTGCGTTGACAACCTAGTGACGTTCATGACAACACAAGTGTCATATAATCCCATCATACTTAATATTATTAGGTGTGAACATAAGTGTTACTCAATCAAGTGTGTATCATTTAATTCTATCTATATAAACATCATGTTTCCGTGTGCTACCATCTATATATTTTCTTGCCTCTCTATTCCCCTTATTTCATTTTTATTGAAACTTAATTAAATCATTAGTTTGTAAAACTTAATTAAATATACTAAATGCAGGTTGCATGCATGCAGATGTGCGACAGCGTGTATGAAGCCACACAAGCTAACACAGGCACTTTAAAAATTTATCCAGGGGACTAGTGCCCACTATAATCCTAACAACGCTTCACATGTGCTTCTATATATTCTGGACAATCAACATCGACTAATCTTCTATCTTTTATAACTAAATAGGAGATCAACGAGCACCCATCATGAACTTAATGTATATTCATCACACCTTTCTGTACTATTTGTTTCATTATCTAATTATTCACTTACCCTATCTCAATTTTATTTGATCGTCCGCTGCGCCGTGTGGGGGCATACAAAGGATCATGCATGTTTGGCCTTCTTTTATCTATCTATTTATGGCTTTGTTCTCCACCATGAATTGTGATGCCATGGTGCTTCCTCAGGATGGGGTGGATCTTCTCTTATTATCAGCGGTGAGCCGGTGACTATACTGATGCTTCAGGTCTCATTTTTCCGGTCAGGAGAGACTAGAATTTGTTGCCAAGCCCAATAATGAAGTGCATGTTCCTCGTTCTCCTGAAAGGATTTTTATTTATTTTTTCCATGTCGCATGGATTAAGATTGGTTCTTTATTTTTTTTTCACTTGAATGTCCTGCAAAATACATGCTGGCTTTGCATGATGTAAATCATTTCATCAATCTTAGTTTCAAATTTTAATTGTAGCCAAGATGCTTGGGCTGCCCAATCTATACCATAATTAAAATTTTCTTTTGCTTGCCCAAGCCTATTGATTTCATATGATGCTTCTTATGTACGATAGTTTTCTCCTATATTACACAACAATATCCCGCAGCAACACGCGGGGTATTATCTAGTTATAATAGATAACAAGAACTTCTACTAGCAAATAATATAAACACCATAATGAGTCCATCAAGATTCGAATGATTTCAAGCTAGATATCATAAGATAGAGCATGTATCTAGAAACAAAACTTCAACTAGTGTAAGGATCTCTATATAGCTAGAGGGGGTGATGGTGAATAGCCTAACTTAAAATTTCTACAAACAATAACACTAGGTAAAACCGACTAAAAACAAGGAGGCCCTAATACACTCTACCTCTAGGTAGCATGGCAAGCCTAGGGTGAAAAAACTACATAGTCTAGTAATCAAGAGTAAAGCAACTATGGCTATGTCACTAGCAAGATAAACAAGCTAAACAGGAACACTAGCAAAAAAACAACTACACAAGATGAGCACACGAGTGAACAATAGCAAAGCACAAGTGTAGAATGGGGAATCACAAAGATAGAGATACAAAGATTTATCCTGTGGTACCGAAGCAAAACCAATTAAAATCCCAAAATCTTATTTAATCTTAAAAAATCCTAGAAGATTTTTTTATCATGTCATGGCTCATATGAGATGAGCTCCTCTATCAACACTAGATGAGCATTGCAACAACTTCAAGTCACCTCTCCACCATGGCTTCAAGCGTTGCCCACACTAATGTACCTGTAAACTAATCACCTGTGTATCTCAACATAAACATATATTAGTCCACTTAAGTTGTCACTCAATTACTGTAGGGTCGAGATGGTGGACTAGAGAGGGGTGAATAGTCCTTTCTAAAAATTAATCGTGCCGGCTAATCGAAACAAATGCAGAATTAAAACTATCGATCTAGATAAGACTATACCCCTATATCTAAATTCTCAAGCACCTTATAAAGATCCTAATTATGCAACAAAGCTGCCAGGCTAGCTAGAGCTCACCTAAACAATTCTAGAGTAAGGTCACACAAACCTATGCACTAGTACTTCAAACAACTAGGGGAGCTCCTACACAATCTAGTAAGTAAAAGCACAAAGTCACCTAAGCTCACTAGCAATGCTCAATAACAAGGCAACTAATGCAAAATTAGAGAGGGTAAAATACTTAGCTATACAAACTAAGTAATGTGACTAACAAGGAAGACAAGAATGACACGGTGATTTTATCCCGAGGTTCACGTGCTTGCCAACACACTAGTCCCCGTTGTGTTGACCGCTCACTTGGTGGTTCAGGGCTAATTGACATCATCCGCCAAGCCCGCACGTCGGGCACCGCAAGAACCTACCTTGAAAATGAGGGTAGCTCAATGACACACTCAACTAGAGTTGCTCTTAGCGATCCTCACGGGGTGAGAACAATCTTCTCGCGTGCTTCAACAGAGTCACAAGCCACCAAGCCATCTAGGAGGTGGCAACCTCCAAGAGTAACAAGCACCACCGCTTGCAACCCGATCACCTAGTACCACTCAATGCAACCTCACGATGCAATCGCACTAAAATCACACTCACACTCAATCACTATTAAGCGTATGTGAGTTAGAGGGCTTCCATAAGATAAACGCAGTAGTAATAGTAGTCTCAATATATGGAGCGATTACAGCGCTGAGGGAAGGAATTGGCCAAGGAGATGCCAGCGGCTTTGTCAGTGTCACCAGAGCAGGAGATAGTACTACCAGCCAAGCCCGTCTAGCTCAGTCGGTAGAGCGCAAGGCTCTTAACCTTGTGGTCGTGGGTTCGAGCCCCACGGTGGGCGCTGCCTTTTATTTTTCCACAAAACTCCTGTTTGCAACATGAGACATACTATAATCTTTTGCCTTTTCTTCTATACATCATCGCCAAAGTTATTTTGATTTAATGTTTCCACAAAAATCCTATTTGCACATATAAGAAAAATAAGACATATTACAATCTTTTGCCTTTTCTGTAACCACTCGTGCTGAAATTTTCTTTACACCATCGCCAAGTAAAGCCCAAATCCAGTGTCCCTAACAAACATAATAAAATGCTTGCAACCTCTTTTTTTTTGAAAATTTAAATTTTCATTGTATCACAAACAAAGTACACATTAGGGCTAAGATTGCCCCATTCGAAATGTTCCAAAACTTGAGGGAAGAGAGAAGACAACAGTTTGGATTCTAGCACTCCTTGCTTTTTTGGCAAGTGTGTCAGTTGTTTTGTTTGACTCTCTTCCGATCTTGATGAATGAGAGATTTCTGACTTGGCTGATCTCATGTAATTCAGAAAAGTAGAGGCCGTAGTGTCCAATGACCTAGATGAGTTTGATGTGAACCAGCACAAGTAGACCGCGCTCTGTTCGCTCGAGCTTATCAGCCAGCCATAAAATAGTATTTTTCTATCACAACAAATCAGCCATTCAAATTAGCCGGAGCCAAAATAAGTCCTGCCGAACAGAGCTGCACATGATTGTCAGTACAGAGAGTTGCTTCCTGCAAGTTGAGTGCCATAGCCAGCTTGGCGCCGAGAAAGGAGGGTGAGAGTTACAGCCTCCAAGGGCTCCAAAATCTGGGGAATTGCTACCTGGAAAAAAGATGCATAGGAAACACTTCTTGCAGGGGTTTTGAGAATGAAAATCCCAATGCCTGTTTGGTTTGGCGTGGTTGCACCTTGTATGCCTACAGAGGCATCACAGAAAATTCAGGACCAACTGAACTTTGTAAGCATGTGGGCCTAGGTTGTGGAGGAATATGCATAACAGGGTCCTCCTCAGTAGCCATGCAATAAGCTTTAGCCCCGTTCACTTGGCTTATAATCCATACTTTTTCAGTGAACGAACAGTATTTTTCCCTCACAACAAATTAGCCGACAGTAATTTCAGTCATGACTTATCAACCAAGCAAACAGGGGCAAGGTCAATTGCATTTGCCTCTTGTAGAACTCTAGAAACTAACCAATTTATGTTGTTAAATTTATGACCAATGCGTGCTTTCCAAAGACACCACATGATAGAGAAAATCATACCTAAGGTAGCATGTGAGGGTCCTTGTTGCATAATAGTAGCAATTTGAGTGTGTAGTCCATGGTCCGATGAAGGCAAGGCGTCAACTCTAAGTCCGATAGGTGAGACAAATCAAACTGCCCTGGCAACCATATCTTTTAAGAACTTGCTAGTGCACGGACGTCCGATTCGGGACGCTAGCATCGGATGGTGCTCCGCGCGCAAAGAGAAGGAGCCCACACATCGAGTAAGCTGAAAGGATCAAGATGCCCAAGAGGGGGGGTGAATTGGGCTAATTCTAAATTTTCTTGCAATAATCAAATTCTACGGATAGCCCAATTAACCCCTTGTGTCTAGACAAAGTGTTTCTATCAAATCAACGCACAAAATACTTGCAACCTATGTTCCAAACTTACTCTAGCATAGCAATTCTATGAATGTAAAGACGAGTATTGAATTGCTCAAAGTAAATACTTAAAGTAAATGCTCAAAGTAAATGGAGAGAGAGGCGCGGCGATGTTTTGCCGAGGTATCGGGAGAGTCGCCACTCTCCACTAGTCCTCGTTGGAGCACCAGCGCAAGGGTGTAGCTCCCCCTTGATCCGCATGCAAGGATCAAGTGCTCTCTGGGTTGATTCTTCGACACCGTCGGGCGAATCACCCAAAACCGCCACAACTTGAGTTAGGTCACCCACAAGCTCCGCCGGGTGATCACCAAGCTCCCAATCACCACCAAGCCGTCTAGGTGATGACGATCACCAAGAGTAACAAGCACGAACTCTCACTTGACCACGCCGGAAGCCTAATGAGAAGATGGATGCACACTTGTCTACTCTTAATTCACTAATGAGGTTTCACTCTTGGATTCTCAAATCACAAACACCTCACTAGGACCTTGCTCTTCTTGGCACTCACAAACGTGTTTCTCAAATTTGTTGAATGAGCAAAAGTGACTCCACACTCGAGTGGAGCTTCTATTTATAAGGCGACTGAAAAAAAAACGAACCGTTATGAGCCTGCGGGATGACCGGACGCTCCGATCATATTGACCGGACGCTCCGGTCAGTTCAACCCATGCAGCAGCTTTCAAGTGATGACCGGACGACGATGAGGTCTCAAGTCAAGACCGACCGGACGCGTCCGGTCGCTCTTGGATGCTTATATGTAATCGATCGGACGCTGGATACTCGTGGTCCGGTCACCACCGACCGGACGATCCGGCCACACTTTCTCAAGTCTCGGACCCTTATTGGAGTCGGACGGACGCTGGCCCAAAGATCCGGTCACACACGACCTTCCAGCCGTCCGGTCACTCCGAGACATGTTCTCCTCAGTCAAATGAACTGGCCGGACCTATGGCCGGCGTGTCCCGTCGCACCGAGCCGTCCGTCGATCGTCGATTTGACCCTTCATTCACTTCCAACTCTCGATCATATGAGAATGAAGTTTGCTCCAAAGGATCTTAGGCATTCATAGGAGCTACCTAGAGCTAGTTTTAACAAGTGTGCACCACACCTAACTCACTAGACTCAACTAGGTCAAGCTACCCGTTCATACCCCCCCTTCATGAAATACGGCTAAGGAAAAACAAAGTCCTAAACTACTCTAAGTGTCTCTCCAACTTCAATTGACACTTAAAACTAGTTATCCTTAACCTTGTCGTCCATCCTTTGAAAACCGAAACGATTTCCATCGTGGGGGCATGACAACCTCAATTGCCCAATCGATCTCCATTACCATGACCTAACTTAATTGCCTCTGCAAAACACACGTTAGTCATAGTAATCTTGTATTGACATTAATCACCAAAATCCACTTAGGGGCCTAGATGCTTTCATAAGCGAACGCCCCAGCAGTGTCAGACTTGCGACCGAGCGCCCTAGCAGCAGGCCCGTGCCGCCTCGGACGTCGTTCGCACTGCCCCGGATGTTGCTCGCGCCACCAGTCGCTTTCCACATGAATCCATGTGCAACACCCCGATCTACTTTTGACACATCCGGATGCAACAATTACAACAACAAAAGAAGATAGATGAAACACTTGAAATATGCGTATGAAATACTTGCAAAAACACCTGAAAACACTTGAAAACCATTGCAAAACATATGCAACATCCAGATGAAACACCTGTAACAGATGTATGAAACACCTGAAACATATGCTTGCAACATGCATGTATATGCAACATCTAGATCTACTTTTGCAACATCCAGATAAAAACACTTGCAACATACGTATGATACAAATGAAATATTTGGAGCATACACTTGAAGCATATGTGTATAGCATTGCAATATGTGCAACATCCCGATCTACTTTTGCATCATCGATATAAAACGCCTGCAACATACCTCGGAAAACACTTGAAACATATGTTTCCAACATGCTCTTTCAGCGTAAACATCTTCTTCCTGCTTCAGCAAATGGAGGCTCGTCGGCACGTGGAGGTCATTGGTGTGCTCGCCGGCAACGCGGAGCTAGGCGGCGGCGGCGCACAAAGGACGGGTGTGGGGCGGCGGGGGCAGTGGTGGTGGCTGAGGGGTGGGTGGGTGGGTGGCGCATGCAGGTCGCCGATGCATGTGCAGCGGGCGCGCGAGAGAGGGCAGGGGGGGCGGCGACACACGGCGGCGGTGCATAGAGGGCGGGTGGCGTGCGATAGCGGTGGCGCACAGGGTGGGCGGACGGCCACATGTGAGGCCGAGTCAAGATACAAACTTTTTTTTTCAGAAGGCAGCGTCTGGAGGAACGGAGGCCCGCGCCGTAGCATTTCCGTATCTTTTACCAATACCGAGTTGAACACAAATTTTGTATGTTTATTGATTATTTATTATAGCATAATAGGTAATCATAAAATACGGACATATAATGCTATATTAAATAACAAGACATAACAAGAATATTTTTCTGCTTTTCTGGTTCTCATACACGGGACACCACTAGATCGACCAGACTAGTAAATCCAATGTTTCATTTCCTTGTGTACTCCAGCTAAGGTTTCTTTTGTGTTGTAGCATAGTTTCGCATAATCGATCAAGAAATTAAAGAAATGATAATGACCTGTCACACTCATGAGAGTGTGCATCTAGATCTCAGTTCTCAGAGATTCATCAGACACGGCCTCCGGTGGCGGAGGCGATGAACGACAGCAGCGGGTTACCAGCGCCACCAGCACCCTGGTCAACAACCTCATCGAGGAACAGGTCCTCAGGCACACGGAACGTACCGTGCGCGCACACGACCGCCGCGCCCAGCGCTAGCGCGGAGAAGATGAGCGAGCCCACGGACGTGAGGAAGACGACGAACGCGGACGCGGCGACGAGCCCGCCGAGCACCTCGCGGTCGGAGAAGGTGCGGCCGAACGCGGCGACGGGCGACGCGTCAGCGGGGCGGAGCACGTAGAGGAGGCACCAGGCGGCCAGCAGCGCCAGCAGCGCGGCCAGCGAGAACGGGTGCGCGAGGAGGGACGCGGCCAGGCACAGCGCGGTGACCGCGGCGTAGTTGACGCGGAAGTAGGCGAGGTTCTTGCGGAGACGGGAGGTGGCCTCGGCGAGGGAGTCTGGGCGGGAGAGCGCAGAGCGGTCCGCCAGCTCGGACCAGGGCCGCGCGCCGGAGAGCGCGCGACGGGTGGTGTCGACGAGGCGGGAGAGGAACGCCCGGATCGCCGCTGGGTTGGTATCGGTGGCGTCCGCGGAGGAGAGGGCCGTGGGTATGGGCGCGGGGGTGGGGGTGGGGAATGGTGCGGCGGCCGGGACCACCGTGGTGGGGAGGAGCGGAGGCGAGGCCGCGGCCATGGCGTATGCCGAGGTGGCGATCGGCGATCTCTGTGCCTCGCGGGTTTGGCGGATCTGAGGGAGAGGAGATGGGCGCGAATACGAATGGTGGCCTGACCCTGACTGACCGACCCCGTCCGTCGTGGTTGCCAAACAAGCCGCACCGCACCGACACACGGGTCAGCGCTTCACCCGTCAGCACTCACCACGCTGCACGTTTTCTTCTTGTGAAAAATGGCCTAAAAATCTGCCTTTTATTTATTTATTTTTGTCGAGAAATAATTTGTTGTTTTCCTTGTCTCCAGTCCATCATGAGTTCCTTATTTTACACTCAAAGTTGAGAGTGGCTGACAATTGCTCCATCATGAGATTTTTCCTTGGCTCCATCAAAAGTTCATTTTTATCACATTGAAAATTCATACGAGCAATGTCGCATGGGTAGTCACTCCAGGCTCGAGTTGCCAAGAAAAGCAGCAAAGTCAGTGCTTATGCAGCTAACATTGATGGTTTGGTAAGGTAACGACGCAATGTGCTTGAAATTGTGATGCACAAGAAACAATGCTCGGGCAGCAGAAGTTGTTTCTCTTTCCAGGTTAGGCATAGGTCCAGCACCAACAGCAACAAGTCTGCAATGCATCTTCCTCCTCCTTTTTCAATACCAATCAACCACCATGTACTTGCTTGGATCTAGAAGAAGAAACAGCCGGCACACCAGCAAAGCTCTTCCTACTATACCAGGACAGCAAATCACAACTGAAAAAAGGCTAGTCTGAAAAGCAACACTAGCTTTGGCAGATTTTCGCTAGGTTAACAAAGAACAAACCATTTCAAGCTACGGTTAGCATACCCAAAGAACCAACCAAGATAATATAGACGGATCTCAAGGCAATAATTTAAGATAGCACAAGCATGCTAGGAGGCACTCAACACGTCTGCATCCAACTTCCAGTTCCACACAACAGTTATCAATCCTCGGTTCAGCACCAATTGACACACATCTTATGACATTGTCCTTAATAGGCAATAGCCATGGCATTAGGCACTATGAATTTCCTTTATTGAAGCTGCAGACCTCAAATCTAGAAGGTGGAGCCGTTCCAACCGAAGTCCGAGCGCTGCATGATGATATAATGAATGTATCAGTGCTCAAGATTAGCATGACAATTGACACCATGATAACAGCGGACAGTGAAGATCTTAACAACGTCTATCAGTCTATGAAGACAAGTAGAAACGAAGCATGTGCAGAATTAGGAAGATGGCGCCAAACAACATATGGTTATTTACATGATCTATTCTTAATGCAAAGCATGCAAACATTGAGCATGTTCTTGTGCCGGATTGGCCTAACAAACAGCAAAATTCCAATGAGAACATGATGATGGTAATGAAGACCCGTGAATGAGCAATCAATAAGGAATAGTGGCTGCTTACCTTTGAGTCAGAAAACTTGAGGTAGAAGCGCGACTCGGGTACGTACAGCTTTGACTCCAGGATAGAAGCAATGCCAGCACTCAGCTTCTTATTCACATCAGGGTCCAGGCCTCCAATGGAAACCAACTTACCGTAAGCTGCGGGCTCCTGGGTACCTCCAAATGCCATAGGCACCGAACCCTTGAGAACAATCATCACGTACTGTGGGAGGACAACCATTCCAGTTAGTTCCTCAAGATGATAGTACTAAAGAGAAATGGCTTCATCTAAATATAAGTCAAGAACAGAGAAACAATAAAAGCTAAAGTTCAGTAATTTGAGCCTAGCACCATAGGTCAACAACCACGAACTAAATAATGTTAGTATATGAGAATGAGATTAGCATGGTCAGGTTATGAACACAATGTATTCACTATTCAGAGAGGTCATTTTGTCCTTAATAGTAGCAAAGCAAATTGCCGACTAACACTACATGGACTAAACGGCTACGAGAAGATGAAAAGTCGTGACCTCTAGTACAGGGCATAAAAATTGGATACTAAACTACATAGCAAAGTAGCTGCATGAGTAACACTAACACGAAGTGACCGATCGACATGAACTTTCAAATTTCATCTATGTAAAATTGATGGCTGCAGTGATACTAGGGTAACATAAAGGAAAAGCACGCCATGCAGCCCATGGTCCACATATTTAACAACACTTGAGATTAGTCTTTGAAGAGTGGGATACACTAGGGGTTCTTTGGTTGATAGAAATCTGGTCCAGAAAACTGTGAGCACTGAGACTTTCATCAGTTAGTTTGTTGTAAATACATTTGTTAAATTGGAAGACGAATGGTTTGGCATTTCTTGTCTTGAGTGACCACAATGGTCGTGATATCGATCCCACATAGACACTTTGGGTGTGCAATCGATACTTGAGTTATCTAGTTATTTCCTCAATGTGAAACTACTAAAATAAAAAAAAATACAGTTTAATTATATATGAACTCAATTTAAGAATGTCCACGATATGCGAGGAGATTCCGATCCACTGTGGATTCTAGGTCTGTGTCATGTGAATGTTAACGAAGTGTTCGAGTGAGAATCAACATCGGGGTGTTAATGCACCTAGAGGATATTCCCCCAAAATAAAAGCCAGGAGGAAAAAAATCCCTATTGCAGACTTGCAGTATTTACCAAAGAGAAACATTGGGAGATTTCTCGATTCACACAAATTCTCTTTAAACTAACATCAATAAACACAATTGATTGATTGATTGACAGTGTCTGAGAAAGGTGTCATGCAGCTATGCACATCCTGCTCAAAACCCTAATAGATTGCCAAGTGCGTAACCCTTGAGAACAACCATCACTACTGTGGCGGGACAACCATTCCGATTAGTTACTCATGATGATAGTACTCAAGAGAAATGGCTTCATCCAAATAAGTCCGAGCAGAGAAGCAGTAAAAGCTAAAGTTCAAGAATTTGAGCCTAGCACCACATATTACCCAACCAGAATCCAAATGGTGTTAGTATGAGAATGAGATTAGCGTGGTCGTGTTATGAATACAATGTATTCAAAGAGGTCATTTTGTCCCTGAAAGTAGCAAAGCAAACTGCTGACTAATACTAAGTGGACTACACGGTTAACATAAGATGCAAAGCTGTGACCTCTAGTACAGGGCATAAAAGTTTGGGTACTGAACTACATGGCAAAGCACCTGCCTGAGTAACAGTGTAACACTAACACGAAGTCACTGATAAACATGAACGTTCATATTTGATCTATGTAAATTTGATGGCCGTAGTACTAGGGTAACATAAAGGAAGAGCACATGCAGCTCATGGTCTTTATATTTAACAAGACTTGAGATTAGTGCCGAAGAATGGTATACTAGGGGGTTGCTGGTTGATAGAAATCTGGTCCAGAAAAACTGTGGGCATAGAATTTCATCAGTTAGTTTGCTGTAAATACATCTGTTAAATTGGTAGATGAATGATTTGGGATTTCATGTACCGAGTGATCACAATGGTCAGTATATCAGTCCCACATAGACACTGGGTGTGCAGTCTAATACTTTTGAGTTATTGTCTTCCTCAATGTTGAAACTATTAAAATAAAAAAATATAGTATAATAATTATATATGAACTCAATTAAAGAATGTCCACAATATGCAGGAGATTGCAGTCCCATCCTAGGGAATATTAACAAAGTGTTAAAGTGAGTTCAATGAGAATCGACATCGGGGGCGTCCATAGTGCGCCTGGAGGATATCCCCCCCCCCAAATAAAAGCCTATAGGTGAAAAATCCCCATTTCAGTATTTACCAAAGAGGCAAAGAGTAGAAATATTGGAAGATTTACTGATTCACACGAATTTTCTTTATACTAACATCAACAAACACGATCAATTGATTGATAACGTACAGAAAGGTGTCATGCAGCGATGCACATCTTGCTCTAAACCCTAACAGGTTGCCAAGTGTCAAGTGCCAATTAAAAAAAGAAGCATAATCTCCACCAACCAAATAGACCCACAATCTACAAGAGCCTACACAAGCAACAAGATAGCAGTGAACAAGAGGGGAACCAGAGGGGAAGGGGAAGGCGGAGGCTTACGGCCTCTGGCTTGCCGATGATGTTGGCAACGGACTTGGAGGCTTGGCGAGGATGGCGGAGGTGTCCACCCCCCGGAGTTCACGTTGGTCGACACGTTCGAGCACGGCGGCATCGCTCGCCTCTTCCTCTTCCTCTTCCTCCTCTCCGCGCCTCCTCCTCCTGGCCGCCTTCTCCTCCTCCGCTCTGCTCCGCCACCGCTGCTCTACGAGTCTCAGTCTGTCTTGCTCCTCTCCTCTCTATCCTGCTACACATAAGAGAAAATCGAATTTCGCCTTTATGGGACGTGGGGCCGCCCAAATGCCATCAATTTTGTGGGCTTCATTTGAAATACCCTTATGAAACGAGACCAACACGCTATAATGCCATTTTGAGTTTTAAGTCGACTTTAAAAAAATTCAGCCAAAATTTTAGCCTTCGGTGACTATTTTGCCCCAGACCTCGTTGACCTATGCACTGCGCTCTCATCTCTCCCCCTCTCGTTGTTCTCTCGCTTGAGTGAAAGGCATAGCGCTGCCACCCCAGGCCGCCCCCACCCCCGCGCCGCGCCCCCGGGCCGAGCCTTGCCACCGCCATCCGCCCCCAAGACGCTCCCTGCCCCAGGCAAAGGCTAGCCCGTCGGCGCCACCACGAGCAGGACCCCGCTCTCCCCGTCGCTGGATCTGCGGCCATTGCTCTTGGCCGTCCGAGTGCTCTTCCCCAGGCGAAGGCAGCCCCAGCCAAGCCACCCATCCACGCCAGGCCGCCGTCGCCTGACCGTGCGTCACCAGGCGCGCCGCGCCTCCCTGCGTCACCAGGCGCATCGCCCTAGACCAACCCTGCAGAACTAAGGTGAGGCTTCAAGGCGCCCATATTCAGGATTGATTTGTGGATTCAATGGGTATAATGTTAACTTAGGGTTTTACAGGAGTAGGAAACAGTGATTCTCTTATGTGCTTGTGCTATGGATTGCAATCGGAGTGATGTAGTTACCGAGTATGCAGCATTATTTACTCTATGTTGTATAGTATGCATGGATCTCGTATGCGTGTAGTGTTCTAACTCTGTAATGGGTGTTTTTTTAGTCTCGATGCGGAGCCTGAGCTTAGTTTAGTGCCTGAAGATGGTGGCATTCTAGAACATCCACAGGGACATGTCGTTAATTGGGATGAATTACGGATTGAGGAAATGCAAGATGATGAAGGGGAAGGAAGGTTAGAAATTTTCGACGAGGATGAGTCAGATCGTTTCTTTGGGCACGAGAACCGAGGATGATCATGGCGAGTCTGTCTTGATGGTACTTCAAATGATGATCAAAGCTACCGCAAACAATGGTAGTACAGTCCCTGATGTTGACACTAGTGGTGTAGCTATCCCTGTTGATGATGTAATACCGGAGGAGAGGGTGATGGTGTATGACCCTAACAAATCATGCATGGATATTGGCACTGTGTACCCCAACATGGTTGAGTTTAGATTGGCGGTGAGACAGTTTGCCATTAATAAAGAGTTTGCACTACACACTGTGAAAATAGACATAGAGAGGTTTATTGGGAAGTGCATGGCACCAGATTGCCCTTGGCATATTAATGGTCGAAAACAACGTCATTCAAAAACTGTTATGATATACATAATTTTTTTTGTTATATGAATATGACTTCTTTTTTTGAGTCATGGCAATGTTCTAATTTCTGTAATAATGCAAGTTACAGCTCTGATTGATCAACATAATTGTTCATCCAGTGCGAGGAGACTTACTACTACACCCAATGCTCCCTGGGTTGCTTCAAGGGGTATCAAGCACCTCAGGAAGGACCCAAATATGGGCCCAAAAGAATTGAAGAAGCAGCTGCAAGACGACCACAAATGTGAAATTCACTATGACACCGTTTGGAAGGGGAGACAGATTGCAATGAAAGAGTTGTTTGGTAACTGGGAGGAAAGCTTCCAAATGCTCTACAATTGGAGGGCAGAGGTTCTGAAGCACTCACCAAACAGTGTCATTGAGATTGACATTAAGATGGTTGATGGCAAGGTACACTTTCACAGGTTCTTTTGTGCTTTAAGTCCTTGTATTGAGGGTTTTCTAGAGGGATGCAGGTCTTACCTTAGTATAGACTCCACTACGTTGAATGGTAGATGGTGTGGACACTTAGCAGTAGCCACTGCTTTAGATGGACACAATTGGATGTATCATCTTGCATTTGGCTTCATAGATGGTGAGACAACATAAAATTGGAAATGGTTTATGACTCACTTGCATAAGGCCATAGGAGACCTACCTGTTCTTGCTATTTGCACTGATGCATGCAAAGGTCTAGAGAAAGCTGTTAAAAATGTGTTTCCTCATGCTGAACATAGAGAGTGTTTTAGGCATCTTTTGCAGAATTTCATTAAGAAGTTTGGGGTGATGATTTTTCGAAGATGTATCCTGCAGCTCGAGCATATAGAGTTGAAGTATTTCAATATTTCTTCAAATTTGTTAGAGAGGCTAGCGATCAAGTGATGGAACAAGATCAACAGAAAGTTGCAAGGTGAGCTAGGTTGACAGAACATGTGTAGATTTAGTACCATGGTTAACTCAGATAACAAGGCCAGACAACAGGCTGAAAAATGGTGCTGTACAAAATCATCTGTGCATATTGGCATCAAACTAGCAACAAAAGCTAACTAATCAGTACTAATACAACATAGTTCTAGAACACAATCTTGCTTCACTTGCTAATAAGCACTACCACACCTAAAAGAACTATGACAGCCATGACTAAACAGAGCACCACCAATAGCTGGACCAGATCGATAAGCTTGTCCATCTTGAGATAGATCCTATCTTCATAAAAAATCCTACTTTTAAGCTTCATTTCTTCTTGACATTTAGTTTCACAATGACCTTCTAATGGCACTGCAGCTAGCAAATCTTCTTTAAGCTTCTTTGCGACTACTTTCTTGTACTCTTCCAACCACCTAAAGAATGGACATTTCTTCACTGCCTGTGGAAATGACAATACATAACACAATTTATTTATCCAAACCTTGACACAATACCTAGTTCATCCAGTTGTATATGACAATAAACAACAGAGCAATATATACTCACAAATTCATTGTAGTTTACGCATTTGAAGAAAATTCTACCGTTGTTCTTTCAGGATTTGCATTCCACTACTTTATCACCACATTCTAGGCATGGAATCAGGGGGATCCCACTAGGGCCAAGTGGATACAGAGAAACGACACTTGGGATGAACGACGAACTAGACGAACCCTCACCCATAGTCTGGCGTGACGCAGGGATGCGCGGCGCGCCTAGGGACGCGCGGTCGGGCGACGGCGGCTTGGCGCGGACGGGCGGCTTGGTTGGGGCCGCCTTCGCCTGGGGAAGAGCACCCAGACGGCCAGGAGCAGCGGCCGCAGATCCAGCGATGGGGAGAGCGGGGACCTGCTCGTGGCGGCGCCGGCGAGCTAGCCTTCGCTTGGGGCAGGGAGCGTCTTGGGGCGGATGGCGGCGGCGAGGCTCGGCCCGGGGGCGCGGCGCGGGGGTGGGGGCGGCCTGGGGCGGCGGCGCTCTGCCTTTCACTCGAGCGAGAGAACAACGAGAGGGGGAGAGATGAGAGCGCAGGGCATAGGTCAACGAGCTCAGGGGCAAAATGGTCACTGAAGGCTAAAATTTTGGCTGAAATTTTTTAAAGTTGACTTAAAACTCAAAATGGCATTACAGCGTGTTGGACTCGTTTCATAAGGGCATTTCAGCGAAGCCCACAAAATTGGTGGCATTTGGACGAAGCCCACTCCCCATAAGGGCAAAATTCTGATTTTCTCTACACACAAAAGGAATCTCCTCTGCTCTGCCTGAGCTAATAATAGGCTGTTTGGGCCTGTCAGTTTCCCCTTCGCTATGGGCTCTAGCCCATTGTCTGTCTAGCCTGCTCTCTTGGCCCAGAGCCCGTGGTGCAGGAAGCCATCACATACTTTTGTCTGCAGCTGGGGGGTCATCCAAATCTTAGCAAATTTGCAATGTCCGATGGTGATGCATATTGGAACAACCAACTCAGATTATTTCAGATAATCACTGAGTTACATATATTGCCAAAAAATGATTACTAGATTTACTGATCCTAGGATGTCGGATAAAGCTTCATTTACGGGGAGGATTTCCACAACGAAATTTACAGGAAGGGATTTTATATTTGAATACATATTTCTTTCCTTTTTTTTGTTGGTTATAACTAAACACAGCTTTCTTGTACAGTATATGTTATGCAACACAGTTGAAAGCTGTGTGAGCTGTGAGCTCCTGGTAGTCTCCTAAATACAACAGCCACAAGACAGCCCAGCTATCAGACACCAAATACAAATGTACAACTTCCACAGAGGGGGCTATATATGACCTGCAGCTGAATGCATATTTCTTGCTACTGTTACCCTTTACATGCTGGCTGTGGGAGATCAGTTGAAACAATCAAATCTACATGATCATATCTGTGCTTACTCACTATCTGACCAGATAACCTCCCAAGGTCCACATTTGCTCCCTAACCTGAAAACAAGAATAAACTGATTGTAAATTTAAGACTTCCATGCTGCTTCTATTCAAGACACTCCAGTACATGAATATTCCCTTTTCCTCAAGTTTGAAACTTGGCTCCTAAAAAATATGAAAAAAAAAATCAGAGAAGAACAAAGGATCATCTATTGCTACCTCCAGAACCCAGCAACTGCACACAATCTCATAAATAGAGTAAGACCGGCCCATATGCCACCGAGACCAAACTTAGGAGCAGCTACTAGTAGGAATATTGATGAGACAGCTCCCGCAAAAAACTGAAACAACAAAGATTCGACACGATTAGGATGGCAAAGTTGTGTTGAAGAGATAACTGATGACATGATAACGTGTGATAATATCGGAGACATAATAATGCAACAGAGTAGGATTATGGGCCCTGTTCGCTTGAATTTATCAGCTGTACTGTTTCAGCGAAATAACAGTATTTTTCTTTCACAACAAATCAGCATCAGCAGTTTTTCCAGCCAGCCGAACATGGCCATGAATCGCAACCGTGGAATATGCAGCATAGGCAAAGTCAGAAACACCATAGTAGAGCCCATCAGCCACAAATGCAATAGCATTCACCGGCTGAGAAATAGTGACAAACTGCAAAAATCCAACAACTGTGAACCTAAACCGCTGTACATTTCTTCAGAAATTAAGTGTAAACTTCTCATTTCTCATGCATGTTCTTACCCAGACTCCAGAACGCGCAACGTCTAAAACTGCTGGATCATCTGTAAACAGCAAAGACAAAGATCCAAACCCAACAAACAAGAAAGCAGCAAGGGCAAAACCAGTCACACCTCCAACCTACAAGGAAAAAAGGAACAGTGTCAGCTCCTTAAGGAGAAGGATAAAGGTATTTCCAAACTATTTCCAAGAAATGACTTCTTAACCTGCAGGACTTTGTATAAAACTGCGCGGGCTTGCTTGTAGTTCCCTTTTGCATATTCGCTAGCAAGTAGAAACTGTGCAAATTAGGGATACTTCACAAGTAAGTACACAGGTAACGAGCTCGATGAAAGTTCCATTCCAGTAATTTTGCAGACCTGGCCAGCAAGGGCTAGAGCATCATTGAGTAGAGAAATTGTTAACCACACTTGCAAGCAGTGGCGGAGCGTGAACCAGAATCAAGGGGGTGCGAATCGTGATGAGAAACTCGCCATAGGGGCAACAGGCAAGCTCTCGGTGGTGCCAGCTAGTATCGTAGTAGTGCCAATGGCTGAGTTCTCACGTTAAAATAGGACTACCTAGCAAAGCTTACTCAATTTAGGAATTAACAAAGGGAATTGCTATTAAACAGGCGCCTGATTTCTTCCAAAAGTTCAGGCGACGTGTGATGGCCAACGGTCACAGGCTTTCTTCTTCCTTTCGTCAGCTTAGCAGCAAAGTAGTAGATCGTGTCCTGAACTCGTCGCCTGAGAGCTCAGGCAACTGAACTCTAGGAGATGTGATTAACAAAAGATGAAAGTAGGGCATCTCAATGTACTCCAGCCGTGGTGCATTGTACTACGTACCAGGACTACTTTCATGTCGATGGGAAAGTAAAATCATAAATGTGAATGGACAAAAACACTAGCTGCCGTCTTCTGCAGTTTGAGCTACTAGGTGCCTAGCACTCCTCTGACTGCGAGCATTGCAACTGGCTAGAGATCAGCAGCTGGCAAACATGGTGTTCAGAAACTTTTCAGACCAAGGGGGGGCCGACGCCCCGTATCGCCTCCACGAGGCTCCGCCAGTGCTTGCAATCATATCTCATAGCCCGCCATTGGAACAGGCCCTTCCCTTGCAGCCAGGGATGTAGATAGTGTCAGTGTCAAGAATACTGCAATTGTCCTGCCAATTAGTAGACCACCTGAAAATTGTTCAAATTTCAAGTGGCTGTCATAAAGGTCAATTACACTAAGATGTTTTTTTGACCCGAAAATATATTACACTAATATGTAAGTTAGGGTGCTTAATGCGATAACTATCAAAAGAAGTTGAATTCATGAAAAGTTGTCTGTCTGTTTTGAAGCAATACTTTCTTATGATTAGGCAAAAACCATCAGACGAAAAAATCCTTGGATGAGCATGAGGGATATTGACCAACCAGATTTCAGGTAGCGGATGACTCCTCCATCCTCAATTATATTCCATGAGAACAGATCTACTTCATTATTCAGCTTCCAAAGGAGGATGAATGCTGTCAAGTACCTGAATACATGTAGACAAAAAATACAAATACTTTAGACAATTATAAGTTAGATAATGATAATAGAGGCAAAGATACTCCAAATAAGAAAATCTCATTTTATTTATAAGAATATCATGATGGCATCAACATACTCCGAGGTCACAGTGGCCAGTGCAGCACCGCTTACTCCTAGACCAAGTGGGAAAATAAGTAATGCATCAAGTACTGCATTTAATAGGTTGCCAGCACCTGTAAGCATCATACCATCAGTTCCTTGCTTGATCATTTTTAATCAATTACATAGAGTAGCTAGAATAAGAAATAAAAAATAGTTACAACAAAAGAATATGCATTTAAATAGCAAGGTCGAACCAATTCCAGATGGACAAAAAACTAGTGTTATGTGGGAATATCACTTATTGCCATTATGAGAGGGTGGGTGGCAAATGATTTGCCGCTTTGTGAGAGTAGTGAATGTGAGAGGGATTAAGCACGACCCCCCTCATAATGGCAAAGTTAAATGACTCTGTTATGTGTTACATTATTTTATCAAAATGAACTGGCAAAGACTTACCCACAGCATACAATGGTGTCCTCGTGTCCAGGAATCCACGAAATGCACCCTGAGCTGCAAGTGCCACTATGATTGGTGGAGCACCAAGTGCCCTCAGTGTAAGAAACTGTTCTGCTGGTGCTCACATTGGTGAATCCTGTGTTGACCGTAAAGCGAAAAACTTATGGACAGCCGATGGAGTTTACTCCACACATTCGGCATACTTGATTCAATTCAGAGGATCCCATCGAAAATTCAAGCGCGAACTCATCTGGAAGGCGCAAGCAGAAAACAAATGCAAACTGCACGCTTGGATCCTAATGCACAACAAGGTCCTAACGGCGGACAACTTGAAAAAGAGGGGATGGCCTCATTAAGAACATTGTGTTTTGTGTAATGGACCTTTGGAGACAGGGCTTCATCTCTCTTTGCTTTGCCCCTTTGCACAGGCCGTTTGGGGCCAAGTGTTATCTTGGGAAAATCTCATGGTGCAGCTGCCGCAGCAGGACCCCGCCTACATTGCCAAATGGTGGGAAGATGCAGCAAGCAAGATCTCAAAACAGGAACGCAGACGTTTCAATGGAACACTAATATATATTGTGTGGAACTTGTGGAAGGAAAGGAATAGGAGGATTTTTTAGAACGAGTTCAAGACGGCACAACAGGTTGCCTCCATGACCAAAGAGGACATTGTGCAAAGGCGCAGGGCTTTTTCCTTTGCGGGGTGAAAAAACTGACCGTGGTAGGGGTGTATCTACTTTGGTCCTAGGACCGGTGTGATTGGCCCAATAGGTGCCATGTGTACATAAAACACTCTCTTTTCTATACTTAATTGAGCGGCAGAGCTCCTGCCTTTTCTTTCAAAAAAAAAGTGTCTTGAAAGAAAACTGCAAGAGTATAGGGAATTAGTCACAGAAGGTGTCATTAAGTATAATTTATAACAGTCGCAACATTATGGAACCTTGAAGTAAAAATTTTTTGAGTTGGCAGACCATGGAAACCTGGTTTCATAGACTGAACTCAAGAAGCCCACCCACCACAAAATGGGAAAAGGTAAATAGTCTAGAAGTGCTATATTTTTGCAGCGCCAAATGTGTGACATGATAGGAAAATGTTTGTGGACAAGTTTCCCATTAGATTCATATAATAAGGTGAAAGCACTTTCAGAGATTTCATTAGGAATAGTGACTTAGGCACAATGATTTTTGTAGAGATTTCATTAGGAACTTAGCCACATAGACATTGGATGGTTCAGACCAACAGCCAACCAAACATACATGAAACACCTAAGAATATTAACACCCAGTGCTGATATCAAATTCAAGGGAAGAAATAGATCCTAGAAATCTGAGCATGCGAATAAATTGGTCTTACGTACGACGGCTTGATCCGCTTCTTTTTTCATCCGGAACAGTGTTTTTCTCTCACAAATTCCTCCAGCATTCCTCCAAACCATCCAAATTCCTCCAGCCGAACACCCCCGATGTTTATCAAGGTCCCAGATCCAACAATCAGAACTACCATTTCGAACAATCCAATGCCAGCAGCTAGAGCCAAGGATGTTGACACCGCTGGAAGAACCTTCTTTTGTCGCCTTGCCTTCTCTATTGGCGTCAACAATTCATCTCCTAGGTGAGACTAAACAGTAATCAGTGTAATGCGAACAACAGAGCTTTCACAAAACAAATGGAAATCTTCATTTGCTTACTTTCCCCTTCGGTGTTAGAATTGGCATCCACTGCCTGCTGCTCGGCAACAAAGGATGTGGTGACATTAAGTAGCGGCACATTAAACAGCTTGGATACCAAATTGAATATGGAAGTCGATGCACCAACAGCCGCAAGCTGAGCCGAACCTGACAAGTGACAAGAGACTCTAAATCATCAAATGGATGAAAAGGTTGACCTTGACCCCCTCAAGGCAATCTCTTTTTTTTTTTTTTTTTTTTACTGAAAGCGGCCTCTTGCCAGTTTTGGTATGGCACGATTCTAGGTTTGAAAAGAAGAAATGCACTGGATTACAAAGCATCTCAGCATGGATGAGATGGATTACCGATATTTCCGACGAAGGCGGTGTCGACGAGCGCCGTGATGGGGTCCGTGGCAAGCGCGAGCACGGCGGGCGCGGCGATGGCGAGGATGTCAGCCGCAACCCCGTCAAGCCTGAGCCACCAAGGCGCCCCGCGCCCAGCGACGGCCTCCGTCTCTTCGCCACCCTTAATCTCAGTCTCTGTCCCCTCATCGGGTGTCACCTCGTCGACGACGTCTGTGATGACCGGCTTCCCACCACCGCGACTGCATCGTGGGAGACTCCTCCACCGAGGCGGAGTAGAGCGGCGGCGGTGGCAGCGGCAGGAGGTTAAGGAGATACGGTTGGGCCCCGTGGACGGGTCTCGGGCGTGCGCGGCGGCTGCAGGCCTCGCCGGCGTGGCGGCGTCGGCGAGGTGGTCACAGTGGTCGGAGTGTGATTGGTTGGATTGAATTCGATGCGGGCCTGCCTTTTGGGCTCGCTGGACAGTGGGCCCTGGGAGATCTATGGGCTTTGGCCTCTCCAGCCAAGTGGGCCCTTTCCTAATCCGCCACTGGGCCAATTTCACAAGTTATCAAGTGTTAGTCCTCTCAAAAAAGAAAAAAATATCAATCAAAATTCAACTGAGGCTATCATGTTCAGACTTCAAATTCCTCTAAAAAAATGTTCAGACTTCAAATCTCGAAATATACCCTGTTTTTCGCTCTCATAAAAGAAAACATACCCCATTTTTCCAAAAACTCTGCATTACCAATTGAGACGATTGCCAGGTCTCACATTTACTTTATGACTATGTTACAACAAAAACCTTTTGCCTAAAACTTACTTGAAGATAGAGTATAAGCAGAGTACATCCACGAGCCTCAGACCAATTAGTCTCTTCCACATTTACAGCAAAAGTTGGCTTGCCCAAATTTTTTTTTTTTAGATAATGGAACAAAGTTCCAACCTCTACCTTCCGTGGAGGCTTGCCCAGATATGACCACTCTTCCTCACCACCACACTATCTGCATTTCACCTAGTAGTAGTTCACAATTTATATGATTTGTAAGATCAGGACCTAGACAGATAATACTCTTCTACTTAAACATAACTTCTACTGGTTATTTACATGTATTTGCCGTTAGCTGTCAATAATCTCTGTTACCGTCTTCCCGTCGAATCACCTAGACATGGTCATTTCTTGTCACTTATCACTTCAGTATCAGACCAGATGTGCTTCCATGGTCCACCTTTGCTCCCTAACCTGCACACAACAGCAAAATACTACGAGTCACCAAGGTTTACGCTATCCATATTTCAAGAAAGGGGTAGCTGGAACCTCAGGTAGTACCTCTCAAAATCCAGCAGCTGCTCTCAAGCTCATAAAAAGAACTAGACCAGACCAAACACCACCAAGACCAAGCTTAGGAGCAGCGGCAAGAAGGAATGCGGATGAAACAGCCCCAACAAAGAACTGAGCAACACAGATGCCAAAATTGTAAGCACGCCATAATCCCGCTACATTTAGTTATGACAACCTAATGGGGATACAATAGAAAACGACATCCATACCATAGAGTATGCAGCATAGGCAAAGTCAGACACGCCATAGTACAGCCCGTCGATCACGAACGCAATAGCATTTATTGGCTGAGAAACAGTGACAAACTGCAAGAGTTCATATTTTCAAAATGAGCATAAACAATATCATGCTTTACTTCTGTAAGTCAGGTGCTTTATTCCAATTATTCTTCATTACCCAGACTCCAGATTTGGCAATGTCTAAAACTGCCGGATCATTTGTGAACAGCACAGAGAAAGATCCAAACCCAAAGAACAGAGACACAGCCAGTGCAATTCCAGTTACACCTCCAATCTACATTTATAACAAAACGTATCAGCAAGCAGCTCATGACTGGAGACCAGCAGCATTTTTGAACTTCAAAGCGCATTATTAACCTGCAGAACTCTGTATAAAACCAAACGAGCCTGCTTGTAATTCCCTTTTGCATATTCACTCGCAAGTAGAGCCTGCACTGAACTATGGACACTTTTAAACAGAACACATACAGATTTGTAATGTAAGACCCTAAACGAGAAATGTCACGTAACGTAAAATGTACAGACCTGCCCAGCAAGAGCTAGCGCATCATTGAGCAGAGAAATTGTCAGCCACACTTGCAAGCACAACTGATGGCCGGCCATTGGAACAGGCCCTTCTCTTGCAGCCAGCGATGTCGACAGTGTCATGGTCAGGAGTACTGCAATAGTCCTGCCAATCAGAAGTCCACCTACAGAATAGTTTCCAGTTAAAGTGGCTATCATGGCCTCATGGAGCTCTGCTATGAACTAGTAACCTATAATTTGGAGCATGTTAAAGATTAATAAAGTTGCAACAAAAAGGTTTAACAACAAAAGAAGCCCATTCTGTATCAATACTTGTTAGTAAATATTTGGAGCATCCACCAACCTGATTTTAGATAACGTATGATTCCACCACCAATTACATTTCGGGAAAAGATTACTACTTTACTATTCAGCTTCCAGAGGAGGATGCAAGCAATCACATACCTGACAACAGGCAGATAGTTGTACCAAGGATTTAGTTCTCATGGGTACAATTATGGAGATGAAAAAGGAGGAATTAAGACAATCCAACAAAGGAAACACATGAAATTCTTAAAATGAATTCAACATACTCTGATGTCACTGTTGCCAAGGCAGCACCTCTAACTCCTAAACCAAGTGGAAAAACAAGTATTGCGTCAAGTATGACGTTTACCAGGTTGCCAACACCTGCATCCAGAGTGCTTAAATATTTACTTTTGTCGTTTGCAGGAACATAAAGCATCATAACTAAGACAATCATACAGCAAACTTCTCAGAACTTTTTCGTGAACGTGCCCTCATGGCATGTGTTTCACTTAGAGGAAGCAGAAGCAGTCACAGTACAACAAACTCTGGTAAGCCAACAAACTTCTCAGAACTTGCATTTGTTGTAGCTATCACTTCCTAAATCTTATTGTCGCTCATTAATGGGGAACTTTAAATCGAAAATTGATAACATTGACAGGTCTATTATTGTTAAATTTCTAGATGGCCACTGAACTAGGTGTACAGACCACTGCAGTGGCAACATGCACAAGACATTTCATCCTGGAACTTGCTTATAAGAAATACATAAATTGCAACACTTCACATGGTCCAGTTTGTTCATTTCAGCAGCTAAAAGAGTTTCTATAATCTTACCCACAGCATATAAAGGTGTCTTCGTATCCATGAGCCCACGAAATGCACCCTGCGCAGCAAGTGCTATCACGATAGGTGGAGCACCATATGCCCTAAATGTAAGAAATTGCTCAGCTGGTATTCGCATTGGGGAATCCTGCATAGATAATATGCAACACATTAGGTTTGACAGTTTGAGTACATATACTGTAAGAAATACAGATAATAAACAAACTTGGGCTCAAATGTCAAAACTAAAATTGAGTGTTAGTATTACAGTTAGTCAACATCCCCAATTCAACAAGTAATACCATGTATTATATGACAGGTACATGATACTTTTATTTAAAGAAACATAGCTATAGTATGACAATATTTGGGTAGTGTAACTGATGCGATATCATATAACTTCACACATTTCCACATGAGAAGATAAAAACGTCCTGGCTAAGCGGATAACTAACTGGGTGCCAAGTCATTGATACTAAAGTTTCTGAGAACGGAAAGAAATGAAACTATTGTTACTTACAATAGGTACGCCAATCATGTCCATTAGTGTTCCTGATCCAAAAATCAGTGCCACAGTTTCCATCAGCCCAATACCAGCAGCTAAAGCCAACGATGTTGATACTGCTGGAAGAAACTTCCTTTTCGGGGTCAACTCTTCAGGAGACCTTGGAAAGTCGTATCCTAAGTGAGAACTAAATAATGGATTAGTATAACACAAATAGTGGGGTCATTTCTAACAAATGTTCGAAATCTTCAGCAGCTTACCTTCTCTTGTCCCAGTATAACCATCATCCGTTGCTTGCTGCTCAGCAACAAAGGATGTGGTCACGTTAAGCAAGGGCACATTAAACAGCTTTGACACCAAATTGAACACTGAAATTGATACACCAACAGCAGCAAGTTCGGCCGAACCTGATGACAGAAAAATTATGGGTATTTTAATTTAAATATCAGTGAATGCTCATTGACTAGGAAAAAACAGGAAAGATCAATGAAATGTTTCCATCTGAAGTACAGTATGAGACTTGGTGTCAGCATTCAGCGGTTCACAAACTGACCCCAGAAAGGCAGAAAAGAGGAAAGCTTTGCTTCACCTAAGTGACCGACGAAGGCGGTGTCGACGAGGGCCGCGATGGGGTCGGCGGCGAGCGCGAGCGCGGCGGGCAGAGCGATGCTGAGAATGTCCAGCCCGATCGTATCCAGAGAAAACCAGCCCTTCGCCCCGCGCCCCTCGTCCCCTTCCCCGTTCTTGGCCTCCCGCGAAGAAGCTGCTTCCTCCTCAACCACGGCTTGCTTCCCGCTACATCGACGGGGCCAACGGCGGCGGCGGCGCTGTGCGAGGCAGGCGCGAAAGGAGGCGCGGCTGAGCCGTGATGACGGGGTCAGGGTGAGAGCGCAGGCGACCGCCCTCACCGTCACCGGCGGCGAGGTCACCATGCGCGCGGGCGAGAGGAAGAATATCTCGCTTCTATTCAACCAAATGGTTCAGAGTGAAGACAGACAGGACATATGGCCACAAATGCAAGAATTTCACATAATACAAAAAAGGAGAAATTTTTGTAGAAAGCACTATATATATGTATAATTCATATATAATCAACTAGGATTTAAATCGGTGGATTAAGAAAAACGACTCTTTTTTTTCTTCCCTGCAAAGCGCAAACTGCAATCGTGCAGAATTACCAAAGGTGGTTTGCTGTCCACCAATTGGTATCTGAAACTGAAAGCATCGTATCCATTTGGGCAAGTGGTCTTGGCGATGCTGATACTGACTGCTTAAAATGTAGATACGTCAGCAAGCTTACAATTTTGGAATATATATTTTGTGTGAACCATGGCCGTGCAATTGGATTCTAATGGCCCCCATGAGAAGAAGGTTTTCAGATGAATCAAATCAAATGTTATGTGTGGTTCTTGGAGCCAGTCTGCCCCAACAGATCTTTCGAGATTGCTACTCGCCTTCAACGATCATTTCAAATATTTGGATTCTAATAGCCTGTTCGCTTCGCTAGAAAAAAAAAAGCCGAAACACTGTCCCGGCTAATTTGGTGCGAGAGAAAAACACTGTTTCGGTTGAAAAAAAAAAGCTGAAAAAAATGGATTATAAGAAAAACCAACAGGGCCTTTCAGTCACACTGCCCCTTGCTATCTTACTTTCAGTTCCACTCCAATAAAGAAGCATATACTCCCTCTAGTCATCACTACACTAGTTTAACGATTAATTAATAAAATAATAGTATAAACATACTAAGATTTGATCGCTAAAAACGTATTAAGGATTTTAACTATACTATTTTCAACACATTAAAAATTGTAATATTCAAAAAATATGGACAAAATCTACCGTGCCAATTCTTTATGAGAAGTCCATTCAGAAAATTCAAAGAGTCATTGATCGGAAAAAACGGAAATGCTCTCCTCAGGACGTCCGTCCATCAAGACGCGCCCTTCCACGGCCTGTGGAGCCCAATATGCCTGTTCCCCTCACGGCTTGTCCACTAAAAATAAACTGGATACTGATTCCCCATTCCTTCTCACCTGTCGCGGCCTTCTTCATCGTGTGCATGCGATTGTCGTGGCCGACTCCACCGCGTCACTCGTCCGCCGCTCACCTTCTCCAGCGCAGGGGACGCTCGCCGCGGGTAGCGCAGCTGCCCGTCGCTATCGCCTCCATCGCGGGGACCGCACCCTCCCACGCTGTCGTCGGGAGCCGCGTAGCCTGTAACACCTCAGGTGTTAGCCTTGCATAACTTGACTTGCATAACATGAGCATGAGCATCAAGCATTCATAAACCATCATTTACAATTGAAACGTTTGATCGAAACATATGAAACATTGCTTGTTATCTCGTGTTTCTTGGAATATATGCATAGGATCATGTGTAAATGAATGCAAGTGGGTAGTGTTAGTCACTAAAACACCTTAGCTATACTTAGGTTAGCAAATGGAACATGGTTCATGAATGTCACTTTCCATGATCAAGCCCTTAAGTCATGTTTCATGTGATTACTTTAAATAGCTCTATGAGTGACTACTACATGAAATGATTGAATGACCTTGCAAATTGCTTAAACATGTTTAGAGTATCATTATGAATAACTTTGATATTCATGGTTAGGGGTAAATAGGTCATTAAGCCATGCTTTGATGTGTATCATCATTTAAATGTGACATGTTTGACCAAGTTTGAACTAGGTGTTAGAGACCTTGCATGGAGGTAGTCACTAAAGCAAAGTTGTAGTGTTTGGCAAGAGGAACAACTTTTATTTTTGGGTCATTGACGGAGTTAGCTCCTAACATGCTTGAATTAGGCTCACAAAAATCATCAAATAACTGTTTTCAACACTTAGCACATTTTTGCCAAGTCAGTTAACTGACAGTCGGACAAGCCCGACTTTGGGGAGACATAAATCGAGATTGGTTGAGAATTAGGACTTGAGTTCTCAACGAGAATTGGAGAGGGTACTTAGGGATACAATTTTTGTTTTAGAATCATTCGGTGAATTGCTTTGTGTCGTGAGGAATTACGCTGTCAAAACACGTCGTCAGGCTCGGCATTGCGTTCACTGACGAACTGAATCGCCGTTCTTCAGTGGCCGACACCGGCAGAGCTCGCGCGCCGCGTGGAGGCAGGCATGGCCGCGCGTCACCGGCGCCCTGCCCCGTGCGGCCAAGCCAGGCCAGCGCGCGCCTTAACGCCCCCAGCACCCGCTCGCACTCAGCCGCGCCCTCATTTCCTCATTTCGCCTCCTCCTTCCTCGCCGCAGCGATAGCCGAGCTCGTCTCGCCTCCGCTGTCGCCATAGCCAGCTCAAGATAGCGCTGAGCCGCCCATTCGCCACCGCAACAGCATCACCGCCTTCCCAGCGACTCCCTACGTCCTCCAGTGCCCGTTGTTCAAGCTTGGTAAGCCACCACGCCGTGCAAAGCCTCGCTAGAGCATCACCGCGAGCCCCGTCGTCGTGGCCACGTCGCCACCGTCAACCTCTCGCCACGCTAGTTGATGCGCTAGGTTCGCCGTAGCCCGTAGATGCTCGGCGTAGCGTTTGATTGAGCCGCCGTAGCTATCACCGACGTCTCGCCGTCGGCCCGCACCTCCGCCCTGCCATGGCCGCCGCCGCCATTGATAGCACCGACGAGAAGTCCCACCAAGTAGAGCATTGTGTGCGCGAGGTCGAGTAGAACATCTGGTGATGATGTCACCACCGGCAAGTTCGCCGTCGGCGAGCTTTGACCACGCCACCGCCGCGCAGTGTAGCTGCTCTGTTTTCACGTCGCTGACGTGTGGGTCCAACTGATGTGTGGGTCCCTGCTGTCAGCGACCCTTTATTCTAAAGCTAGTTCAAATATTCTAGATTTTGTGTGTGTTTTGTAATTTCTAGATCTCCAGCTTGGTAGCTTCAAAAATTATGAAATAAATTTGGTTATGTTCCTTAGAAAGTGTAGTATTTAAGAAAAATATGATCTTGACACTTACAGTAGAATTTTTGGAAGATTTAAATAGAGATTTGAAATGTGTTTTTGAATGCATGCAAATTTGTTTATTTTATATCTAGAGTTCCTGTGCTCCAAAAATTATGAAATTTTTGTGGTAAGCTATTCTTGTCATGTATGAGCTCTGGTAAAAATTTGAGGATCAGTGCATGGGTAGATTTATAGTTATAGATTTTTCTTTTATAAATAGTTAATCCTGATATGAATTTTTATAAATTATTTATGAATCCAAAATTCATGAAATTTGTTGGGGGTGATCCTAGTACCATAAGGATGCTAAAAAAATAGGAAATCTGTTGCTTGACACTTTTCACTAGGGTTTTCTATTTTTGCTATTGTAAGCCTTTCTGTCTTGTCATTTTTGTATAGAGTGTTTTATTGAATAAAATGGCATGAAACTTTTACAGTAGTCCTTTGATAGCATTAGTAAGGCACTGTAAATTTTTGAGAATTTATAAAGTACATCTGGTATATGTTTATTATTTAACCTAAATATCTAAATAAAATAATAAAGGCATTTAAATAAATAGTTTGTGTTTTACCATTATATTGTCTTGAATGTATTTGGTATGCTTAAACTGTTGGTAGACTTTATGTTGTCAAACTTTGAGTGATTACATGAAGTAGAAGTATCGTTGCTTCAAAATGCAAATTTAAAAGGATTCCGGACAGATTCTGTAGTTTGATAAGTTGCATGATGAGGATGATGGTTGCTGTAAAAATGATTAATAACAAAGTTGTAGATAATTTGATAAGCTTTCTAGAAAGTCCAGGATCACTACATTTGGATTAGTAGAACTCCAGTTATGAGTGAAACAAGTAGCTGCTGTTTTGTGATATAGTCGATGCATTGTGGAAGTAGTTAATTAAATAATCGAGAAGAGATATGCACCTACTCAATAAACATGATGCACTTGTTAACATATATGCATTCGTAATACTTATGCCATATTCATGCATCTAGGATCGAAGGAAGAAATAACGTTGCTGGAATTCGACGAAGTAGAGGAAGGGGACCAGCAGGAGAATCCTCAAGTCGCAGCTCCCGAAGGCGAGGAGCAGAATCCTGAAGAGCTTCTGGAGTGTCCTGATCACCTCCCTACTTCCTTTCTGCGAGGCAAGCTCTGGAGCATTCTAAGTCTCCCAGTATTTTACAAATGATTACTTAAGTACTTATGATTGATGCATTAGGTTATAAGAGCTGAATGGAACCACTTGATGCATATAAATTCCTTGTCTAGCTATTACACCTTTAACCGGTATAGGTCCAGGATCGAATATATGCTTAGCCATGCTTAGACCGGTAGAAGTCGGATGATTTCCTGTCACCTGCGAGATATAGGTGGATACCGGAGCACGGTTGGCTATATTTGCTATCGTGGAAAAGAACCATGGTTAATGTAAATGGAGACCGGGCGGGATGTCGATAGAGAAGCAACAAGACATGGAGGTTTTGGATGTGGATCTATCCCCGTCTGTGTCGATTAAGGACCATACCGTTGTTGGTGCTTCTGACAAGATTGAACGCATGCCTATCACTTAGCTGGCCGGATAACTCGTTCCGACCGTGAAGCCGAGTAATTCAACTCAGGCCGGGACCCGTTTTGTTGTGCGCTCCTTGCGGGGGGCGATCAGACTGAGCCCAAGGGCAGGCTAGGCCTGAACGTCCTGGCATCTGGTGTCCCAGATTGTGCGGCGCAGTACGGACCCGCGAATTGTAGACCTGAGTTGTACCAAAGGTGACCTAAGGCTGCCTTCACGCGGTATGCCCGGGTTTGTGTTAGGAATAAATTCTCAGCTGGTTGAAATCGATTCGAATCGCCGTCTCTCTCGGATAGTGAGAAACTTGGCTAGTCCCAACATCGTAGTAACTGTGTTATGGAACATAATGGTTCGGATGAATATGGAATTGCAATACCTGCTATGGTTACTATTGTATGCTTTTAAATGGATATACCACATGTTTGGCATAGGATAGTTGCTAATCTAGAGATGGATAGTTATAATTAACCTGATATTAGAACCATAATTGTATAGCTAAGTTAACCGCTTTTATGCACAATGTTGTCAAGCTATCCCCACTTATACAGCCTTGCATAATCCTTGGAGTCATTTTATTTTTGGTTTATGGCGGGTAAGTCTAGCTGAGTACCTTCTCGTACTCAGGGTTTTATTTTCCCATGTTGCAGATGGCACTGTATCATGGTTATTGCAAGAGTTGCTTCTATCCCGCTGTGGATGAGGAGTAAGCCTTGGGCAGGCTTCTTATTAATCCTTCTACATGCTTTTGTGGACCGTGATCGTATCTTGGCACTGTATCAAACTATGTTGGAAACTTTACTTTCGAACTTAATTGCTTCCGCTTTATCTATCAAACTCGGTTTGTAATAACTGGTTTCATACTCTGATGATGAAAATGTATCTGTGAACTTTATGTAATATGTGGCATGTATGTTGAATCATGTACGATCTTGGTTGTTGTAAATCGTTTATCGAGACCCGTCGTGGTACTCGACGGACTACCGGGTTTATATGGGTTCAAGTATGACAGTGCGACCGCTTGCGGGACGCCATTGTACTTGTACTCTTATAAATTGGTCGGTTCTGGGACACAGCCGCCCGCTAGCATCCCCCTCCCCTGCCACTCCGCGTCGACGAGCCTCCATTCGTCCAAGCATTAAATAGATGGATGTTGCGCTTGAAAGCGCATGTTGCAAGCGTATGTTTTAAGTGTTTTAGATATTTCAGAGGTATGTTGCAAGTGTTTTATATGGATGTTGCAAAAGTAGATCGGGATGTTATATATGTTGCAATGGTTGTACACGTATGCTGCAAGCTTCTGTTCCAAATGTTTCATCTATTTTTTAGACGCTTGTTGCAAGTGTGTTTATCTGGATGTTGCATATCTTTCACACATATGTTGCAAGTGTTTTATCTGGATGTTGCATATGTTTTGCAATGACTTTTCAAATGTTTTTAGGTGCTTTGCAAGTGTTTCAGATGTATGTTGCATGTGTTTCAGTTGTTTTTCAGACGCATGTTGCAAGTGTGTTTATCTAGATGTTGCATATGTTTCACATATATGTTGCAAGTATTTTATCTGGATGTTGCATAAGTTTTGCAATGACTTTTTAAATGTTTTTAGGTGTTTTTGCAAGTGTTTCAGATGTATGTTGCAAGTGTTTCAGCTGTTTCTGACGTATGTTGTAAGTGTTTTATCTAGATGTTGCAAAAGTAGATCTGGTGTTGCATATGTTGCAATGACTATATACGTATGTTGCAAGTGTATGTTTCAAATGTTTTAGTTGTTTCAGTCGTATGTTGCAAGTGTTTTATCTGGATGTTGCATATGTTGCAGTGCCTATACCTATATGTTGCAAGCGTATGTTTCAAATATTTCATCTGTTTTAGACGTATGTTATAGCAAGTATTTCATGTTGCAAGTGTTTTCATTAGCCTGGGAAGCGAGCGCAAGCAGATGCGGTCTCTATGAGCGCGGGAGGCGAAGCGGGCGTGGGGCGGTCTCCACATGCATACACAGCAGCAGGCGGGCAGGCGCGCGTAGGTGTAGCAGCAACAGACGGGCAGCATGTGTAGCAACAACAGACGGGCATACGTAGCAGCAGACGGGCTCGCAGCGGGGCCGGCGCCACGGTAGGCGGGCAGGCTCGGTTGTTCGAACGGGGCTATCGTCCCGACGTCCGGATAACACTGCCAAAAAAAACATGTCGACAAGTATATGTACACATACATACATGTTGTGGTGGGCTTTCCTAGTGGGCCAATGTGGAATTACTTCAACGAGCCCACCACAGACCACACTGCCGGCGCCGGCGCCACGTGCCACTGCCCCCACTCGTCTTCTCCAGAAACCCGCCGCCGCAGGCGCACAGTCTCGAGTCTCCGTCGTCCCCGTCCCCGACTCCGGCTACCACTAGCTTCCGACCCGTAAGTACCAACGCCCTTCGCCCCTACCTCACCACAAGCACACTAGTTCTCGATGCGAGATTCATCCATTCCGTCCATGGGATTGGCCTTTGATTCGTGCCGCGTTGTGCGTCGCAGCTTGCAGTTTTTTAGGAGCAAACTCCACCTGACCGAGGGACGAATTCAGAGGGTGCATGCATATGAGGTTTGCGGGCTGGTACATGAAGATCGCGGCGGTCGGGGCCTCCATTGGCGCGGGCATGGAGCTCTTCAGAGAAAATAGTATATTTGGACTCAATCGTTACGCTTCGCATGTTTACGACTTGACTTCGTAAAAATAGGCCTCCAAACATTAGACTCTTGATTTACATGATATTATGTGTATTTCCTCCCTTTTGAAGTATTCCTCTATGTATTTGATACATCAACTGACATGTTTGCCCTTCTTTTCATTTGCACGTTCCATGTATTTGCCGTCGCTCTCATTCGTTTGCACGTTATGTACTGATGCTGGACATGTAACGTGGCTGTACCGGGCAAGCAGGCAGGCATGCTGGGTGCCACCGCCTGGGCCTTGAACTCCCGTCAGTGAACGACTCCTTCACCTTGGCCTTGAACTCATCGTCGGGGAACCCTTCTACGCACGTCTCCATGTTCGCGATCACTGCGCTAAGCCAGATGCGCAGCTGGTAGCTCTGCTTGGCGATGCCGTCCTTGTCGTCGACGCCCTTGAGCGTGCTGTTGAGGTCGTCCTTGGCGTCCGCGAACACCTCCTTGCAGTCGGCGACGGCGGCCTTCACACGCGGGTCGTTGCTCAGGATCAGGTCCGCGCGGTCGAACGCCTGGCTGATCGCGTCGCCGATCACCTCCACGGCACTGCGGACGATGTCCTTGGGCGACGACGAGCTGGCGTTCGCGACCTTGCCAAGGCTCTTCTCGCACGCGTCCGTGTAGTCTGTCTGCGAACACATCGCCTTGATGCTCTTGGACACGGCCTTCAGATCCGTCTTCGAGTCCTGGTTCCGATTCTGATTCCGAGTCCGAGTCCGACCCGCCGCTGGACTTGCCTTTGGCTGGCGACGACGAGCCCTTGGAAGAAGACTTGTGGCCACCGCCACCGTCGCTGGACGACTTCTTCCCGCTGTACATGACCGCGGCGCTGCCCATGACGATGAGTATGATGATGATGGAGACGGTCCCGGCGGCGATCATGATGCGTCTGCGCTGCTTCCGCACATTCTCGGCGCGGCGGCGCTCGGTGAGCGGACCGAAGTCGCCGAGCGGCGACGACGACATGGTCGGAGCTGTTTTCACCATCCATGGGGCCCTCGGGCGTGGCCACGTCGTCAACTCAGGTATCAAATACACGTATATAGATTAGAAAATAGAGCAAATACATGTAATGTCACGTAAATCAAGAGTCCAACGTTTGGAGGCCTATTTTTACGAAGTCAACGTTTGGAGTTCCAAAACGGCGAAGCACGACAATTGGAGTTCCAAATATGCAATTTTCTTGTCCATCTGAGCGCACCCATCCCCCCCCCCTCTTTTTTTTAACCTGTAGGTAGCTTTAGGCATACTGCGAAGCTTTCGAATTTTTCAACTGCACCATTGCTGCACTTCTAGATCCAATTGACACCTGCATTATTCTCGTCATCCAAATTCAGACCAGCTGATGGTTGACGATGAAACCAATGGGCTTGTTTAAGTCATTGGGTAATTGCCAAAGTACCCAAATTTACCACAAATCACCAGTTGTTGGTTCAATGCATCTTCCCATGTAACAACAATCCAAACTTCTGATACTTTGGTGGCCATACAACGAGTTCAGATTGCCTAGTACCATCCATCCTGTCAGGCTTTCTATTTTTTCACTGCTGCAAAGGAAGGTCTCTTACATATATGTACCTTTTTCCCCCATGGTTATATGCTACAGATGATAAGGTTGTTGTCTTGGAGTCAGAAAAACGAGCTTGGGAAAGCAGTCCAGAGGCCCAAGCTATGAGGGAAGCCCTGAACCCATGGCGCAAGCATGATGAACAACAGAAGAAATAGTCATGAGTTATGCATCCTGTCAAGTGATTGTATCCTCCATTTGTAAGCCCTTGAACGAGGTAATATGAATGTGAGTCTTTTGCATTTGGTGAATAATTTGTACTACTTCTCGGAAATTGCTGGATGCCTGGATGGATCTTTTTTCGAGGGAACAAACTATACACTTTCAGACTGGATTTCACTTGTTATTGTGTTATTTTTACAGTATAACAGCGAAATTGTAGGTATAGAAAGAGCTGAAAGCTGTATGTCTGTTTGTACAATAATTGAATGCTCTGTGGATCCCTCGCTGAAGTGTAGTTCCTTTTCAAATATTGCTCAATGAAGTTTAGTTCCTTTTCAACACCTTAGTAGTCCATCCTGACCATTCTTGCAAAAGTAAAACTTTCTGTGTCATATTGTCCTATTTGAAGAACTCATTGATCCCCTGTTTGCTGTATCAGTATTTCCTTAATAAAGATTGAAAGAGAAGTTATTTGACTTCATTTTAGGCAGAAAGCTGAAATGCCAATCAGATCCAATCTCCGAAGTCCTGCATACTTTAAGCCATTAAGTATAACATAAAAACAGTAAACATGGAGCATTTTGCACACAATTCTATTTGACTGGCAACAACAGTCTAAACTGACTCATGCTATCTTGGGCAAACTTGTTAGTATTCATGCTCTGTGGACTATCTTGGGCAAACTTGTTAGTATTCATGCTCTGTGGACTGTGAATGGTGTGTTGGTTTTGTACTTTAACATATCAGCTATTAAGCTGTTACTTTCCGATCATCTTGGTTTTGTTCAAGTATTTGCATTCACATCCTCCAGTTGTAACCCCTCAAATGAAGTAATACAAATGTGATTCTTTTTGCATTCCAGTGAATACTCTCTCCTACTTCTCTGAAATTGCTGGATGGTAGCTTCCAGGAATGTTTAAAGGTTCATAGGCATGTATCCACACTGGATTCGCTTTCTACCGTGCTATTTAACAATATAATAACAAAATTATAGGTTCAGAAAGGTGACAAAGGTCCATTTCTTTGCCTGAATCGAATGCTCCATGGGCTCCATACTGAATTATATTTCTTTTCTGATTACAGCTCACTGGAGTGGTCCATCTAGGTCATCCTTCCAAAATTTAGAACTTTCATGTCATTTTCTGCTATTTAGAGAACTCGCTGCCCTCCTTATTTAATGTAAACGTTATTGCCCTGACAAAGATTGAAAGATAAGTATTTGCTCTGAACTCTACCATGTGATGAACTGATCGATGGGTTTCTCTGTTAACTAGAAATTTGGTGAAGATGCTTACAATTACAACTTGACCAACTAGCAGCACTAGCATAAGCTGGCTTTGTTCTTATGAATAGAACTATGCTTGATGCTAACCCCAGAAATGTGATGCAAGCCCACAAGAAGAAGGTGGTTGAGTAGCACTTCATCCCCATGCACACAATCATGGTGTCAACAATGCCAGTGCTGTTATCCATTACTGTCATCTTTTGGCCATTTCCATCGTATACCATGGCAGCAATCTGGCCATAGAGGAGTGAGCCCAGTGGGATATTGGTGATTAGGATGTTGTGATTCACCCCAACGCTATTTGGTCCAAAGAGCTCGGAGGTCACTGACACTGCTGCAGCAAAGATGAACCCTGAGCTTAGGCCAACTAGTGCTGTTCCTGCTACCAGGGTGCTTGCATCTTGTTGGTTCCACATAAGGAAAAAGGCCATTGGCATGGGGACCAATGCAGCAGCAAGCCACCCTGTGCGAGCAAGTGACACCTTCCTGTATACAAATTTTAGTTAGGAAGCATGTGATATGATGAGATATATGTTTGTGTATAAAGCAAAACAGATACCTGTGATGGATGTCAGGTAGTGCAGAAAGAAGACGACCGAAGAAGGAGCAGGATGAGTAGACAGCAAGTAGCATGGTGAGCTGTGACTGCTGTTGCAATGACTGCGCAATCTGCCCCAAGTTGTTGCTGTATACCAGGCCAACAGTGGCTCCACAGAAGTAGGCTGTGTAGTAGAGCCAGAAGTCCACACACCGAATGAGCTTCTTTGCACTATGTTCTTCACCGAGCGCCGCCAGGTGGCCCTTGCCCACTATTGTTCCACAACAATTGCCCTGCGTCTGGTGCTCCATTGGTTTTTGCACCATCGCATTGGACTCCATCTGATGATTGTTACTGATTAGGAGTGGCTTATGTGGATCATCATGGTTTAGTGGCGATGCAGGGTCAGGGCCATCTGTATCCACATATGAGCAACTGGAGCAGGCAGGGATGATGAGAGGGAGGGCGAGGAGGACCATGGCACCTGTGAGGATGACCCATGCAGTAGAGCCGGTTGCGGTGAAAGATCCAAAGACCACCAGATATATGCCGGTGATGAATGCGAGGATGTAGAGACCGAGGAAGACACGCCTGTCATGCCTGGGCGCACTTTGGAGGTGGCTGTCATTTGTGTGGCAGAGGAGGATTGCTGGGAGTGCAAGAATAGAGACACCAAAAGGGAGGATTGCATTGAGGAGGAGGTATACAGCTGGGGAGGAAGGGGATAGGGCATTCGCAAAGAGAGTGTAGAAGGCAGCGCTGAGCCCGTTGAAGCTTATTGATAGGGAGAGGGCCAGGGAGCGGTTGTTTGCAGAGAAGCTGCGTATGCAGAGAACAAAGCATACTGTGTTGAACCAGCAGATGCTGCACCCTGCTATCAAGCAGACCAAGAACACCTGCAAGGGCCAACATATGAATCAGAATTTGATGATATAATTAAGTTCAATATAAATTGCATTTGCATATTATGGCTTTAATTGACAATTTAACCTCTGTCGTCTCTACATCTTGGCTTGAATACATTCGAGTGAAGTGTTTGCAATCAGTTTGTCAAGAAAACCGGTGTGCTAATATAGACTACGTACTGAAAACTGCAGGGTTGATTTCTATGCTGGGAGGCCTATCTTAAGGGCCTGGAATGCATTTTACTACTGGAAGAATGTACACATTTTTTTTCCTTTGAAGATGTAGAGATAAATGCTTTTAAAATGTGCTTGGAAGCTGACCCCCCCACTGACGCCCGCGTCGCTCCCCCACGCGGGGCGACTCGGGCTGCTCCGCCGCGCCGCCTCCCTCTCACCCCTCTCCTCCTCGCCCGCCGCGCCGCCGCCGGAGCTGGCTGCCGGCATGGCCGCCCGGCCGGCTGTGATGGTGGCGGCGGGGCTCTCCCTCCTCGTGTTGGCAGCGCACTTGCAGCAGGCCGGCGGTCCGGCCCCGCGCGACCGGCGTGGAGGTTGATGAGGTGGCTGCCACGGCTGCTGCAGCGCCGGCTGGTGTCCGTGCAGGCGCAGACGACGGCAACGAGGTCTTCTTCTTCTCCACGCGTTCCCCTACTCCTCTCTTGATGGCGGCGGCGGCGGCGGTGGCCGGGGCCCTTGCATGCGCTGGGGGCGGTGCTTTCTTCTCTGTCATCCCTCCCCTCATGGCCTTGGCTGCTGCGGCTCAGGGGCTGGCTGTGCCCGGGGTAGCGACCTCTGCCGGCCAGCCTGCCCGCCGCGGCCGGTCTGGCGGCCAAGGCGAACGGTGTCTGCAGCTATGGTCAAGACGGAGGCGTCGGCGTCGGCAGGGGGCACCGGATTCGGCGGCCCCAGGACATGGGGCGGAGCCCAACATGGTGGGGCACGCTGGCGGTGATGACGGCAGCGACATCGGCAAGTGCCAGAGCCGACGACGTTGGTCAAATGCGGCCTCGGCATGTGGCAGTGTGACACGAGCGGCAGAGTCAGGTCCGGCTCTGCGTGGCCCGGTCGGAGGGGGTGGCGGCCGACGTAGCTGTGCAGCTGCTACGTGCAGCCGGCGCGTCGATGCCCCTCTTAAGGGGCTTCCGTGGGGCGCCGGGACAATGGTGATGGCAGTGAAGGCTGGCACGGGTCCGGCTTCGCGACCCGGCGAGTGTGCTAGAGGGTTCTTGGACGAAAGCCTTGGCGACGGCGACGCCGTTGGGTGCCGCTTCCCTGTTGGGGGCGTCGTATTTCCCCACTAGCATGTCATCCAAGGGTGAAAACTCAGTCCACTTTGGACGTGCGACGGTGACGCCATTGGCGTCACTCCCTTCCTGAAGGCGTCGCGTTTGGATTATTGCCGCGGTTTCGATGCGGGGCGATGGTTTGCGTTTGGAAGTCGGAGCTGTTCTTCGATGTTTGAGCTTGGCAACGATGACCGGTGGCGACCATTAGACCCGTCGGGGGGTGACTAGTGGGTGGCCTGTCATGGGAAGTCGGAGCTGTTGGCAGCTTGGCTTCCATGCTCGGCAACGATGACCCATGGCAGTGTGTTGTTTTTGTGCTCAGCTGCGTCGCGTGGGATGGTTAGCCCTTCGGGTGCCTTTCTGTCATCTCGTCCGGCTAACCTTCTTGTACATAATATTCTTTCGGCTTAATTGAGCGGCAGAGTTCCTGCCTTTTGTTTCAAAAAAAAAGTGCTTGGAATGGGACATGTAATCTCATTTTCCTCAACAATTCCCAGTAGCCTGATACGTGGTAGGCATTGAGTAGCTGAGAAGGGAAGTGAGGTTATGTATCAAATACTGTATAGTATTTTGTAACGGTGCTGTGGCAATGTGACCTTAAAACTTTGTGATTCCGTTTATGTGTTGTGACATGCCACATATTTCTCCTGAATGTATTGAAGGAAGTTGTTGGTGTGATGGTAGACTTATTTCGCAGTGGCTGAGAACTTATCTACCTTTGTGTACTACTACTAGGCCTTCAAGATTTTTTAGTGTGGATAAAGATAGTGTCCTGCTGGTGCTGTGGGGGAAATGAATTTGAGTGGTTTGCTTGTTAATAGAAGCAAGAACATTTCACGCTTCCCCAGGATTTTGATTCCTTGATTGATGCTAGTTGCTGGAATATGTTGTCACTGTTTGACAGTTGAAAAAAAGGGTTTTCGGATTGGGCACACCTATCAATGAACAAGATATTTACCAGAAAAAAGAAACGTATACAGTTTGGAGTATGTGTTTGTTTTATCAGGTTATTAGACAAAGAAACAGGAGAAGTTAGAACTTTGTGAGAGCGCGCGTGTTGTGCAGGTGGCTCATCTAGCAGTCAAAAGCAGAGCAGAGGCAGACTGGTAGGAGGAAAGCAGAGTTGACTGGTAGGAGGAAAGCAGAGTTGAGTTAGTTGCAGATAACTGAAATGTACTGGTTGGTTGGTTGGTTGATATTTTTTTTTAATTTTTATGGTTGGTTGTTGACGAAGTAACTTATGGCCTGTTCGGCAGGACTGAGAAATACTGTTCCGACTGATTGTTGTGAGAGAAAAATACTATTCTAACAGGATGTGAACAGTGATTCCGTGAGGGGGCTGGTCAGCTAGACACAAGCCAGCCGAACACTGCCTTAACTATTGCTGGATACTCCGCTGGTTGATGATGGATGTCTAATCCCCATCTCATGTCATGTCACTTTTGCTCGGCCATTTGTTTGGATTTTGTAAGAAAATGCATGAGAACGTGATAGAAAAATAAGAATGCCAAACACTTGCATTTTAGAATGAAATTCTAGAAACTAACTATTTATTTATCCAATATTTATCCGAACACTACCATTTGGAGAGATTTTTTTCTGTACAAAGACAATAATCACTATGTGAGAATGAAATATTAAAAAAAAACCTCATTATTTTTAAAATTTTATGACTATATATATATAGTTTATGGCAAGAAAATCGATCAGCACCATACGTCGGAAAGCTTTGAAATACGAATCCAGTGATGCTAAACTTGTGTTCTGTAATAAACACGCGCAGTAAAATAACAAGAAGAAGAAGAAAAGGGAAAGGAAAGGGGAAACAAAGAAGAGGGAAGGTGAGAATGGTTTCGTTCGGATAATAAACGTAAGGACCCTGGAGATCCGTCCCGACGGGTGCAGCTGAGCAAATACGATCTTTGTCTTTTCAAGAAAAGGAAAGGAGATGCCAGATGGAGCTACCTCCCAGCCACAACAGCCCACAGTGGAGGAGCGTGCTTGCTTGGTGCTGGACTGCTGGTCACCGTCCGTCACCCTCCGAATATATAGAAGCACAGCAAGATAATACGGCATACGAGTAGGAGCCGGCCGGCACGGCATGGTAGTCGCGACCGACGACGGAAGGACGAGCGGCACAAGCACTACCCGGGCCGGCGTCCTTTTCTGCTCCGCCGGCCATTGGCCATTGGCCATTATATTGCTGCTCGCTGCCTCCGTCCCTGATTCCCCATCATCAGACTCTACAATCTCCATCGTCGTCTACGTCCATTCCTATCTTCTTCTTTTTTGTTATTTATTTATTTCTTTCTTTCTTTCTCATAGACTAAACGAAACGATCGAGACGGCTGGTAATTGATCGATGAGGGTGACTGACATATACCCCTATATGCACTGCCTGCCAACCACGGCTCAACCTCAACGATCGAACATCAGCTGGACACGCCGCCAAGCAATGACAATGACGACGACACGCACGTACCAGAGGGTAGGGGACGGCGACGGACGCGACCAGGCAGTAGTACTGCACGGCGTAGGCGGCGAGCCCCATGGCGGCGGAGACCATGAGCACGGCGTGGAGCGGCATGTGGAGCAGCGCCAGGCCCGACGACCACCCCAGCGCCTTGCCCAGGTCCGACGCCGTCGCCAGGTAGTTGAGCGCCTCCTGGGAGACCCCCAGCGACGACTTGAGCGCCGACGAGTAGGCCGAGAAGTCGAAGTTGGTCCCTGTCAGCGCCTGGATCCACACCGTCGCCACCAGCACCGCCCACCGCTGCCACGCCTCGTCGTCGTTCCTCCGCTGCTGATGCTGCCGATGCCGGCCCCCTGCTTCCACCTCCTCCTCCTCCTCCTCCCCGCCTGGGCCGCCCGGTTGCTGCGCCATGCTTGTTTGATTGGTTCTGGAATGATGGATTGCAAGGCGCGCTCGCTCCCCGGCCGCCGCGCGGACAAGCGCGCGCGGTGCCTGTCCGTCCGTGCCAACCGCTCCCCCTCCCTCTTTCGTCTTCTGCTTAGCTACCTGCTCGATCGTTCGCGCTGCCTATATTTATATTTATACACATGAGCTTTCCTGTTTAGTAATAGTATAAGTCCATTTCTGTTCCATTCGTTTTAAATTATATACTATATATGGGTGATTTCAGTTTTATTTTATAACACTCAACCTTTTTTTAAAAAAAAAATCTGACCAAGTTTATATACACAAATATATATCAACATATACGGTGCGTACAATACTGGTGGGTTTAATTCGTTTCGAGAACAAAAATGGTGGCTCTAATGGAAATAAGCTAATTTTATACAAATGCCCAACACGACACACGGTTCACGGTCTAAAAGATGCTGACGTAACACCTATGAAAGATAGCAAGATTGAAAAAACTTCGGGCCATGAAATCATGTTCAAGGGGTCCTTGGATGGTCAGGAGAATATCAAAATCACTGTCAAGTCTTCTGGGCTTGGAAGGCAAGTGAAAACTCCCACTATAGAGAGCAAAACGTTTATTTATGAAACGGTTGCTGTCTACGGCATTAAACAACAAAAAAAAACAGTAATACCAATTTCTTAAATGGGCCTAATAAAGGTGGATCAAAGACCCCCTGCGCACCTCCAAACCAAGGCAACCACCGGCTTCAGGAGCCGTTTGGAGCCGTTTTCTATTAAACGGGGTAAAGTAAAATAGCTTCACTTGTGAAGCCCCTAAAAACATGCTCTCACAGTGATTTGGGGTGGGATGGAGCCAAAAAAAGTGGCTTCTCCCGGCTCCTCCTCTAGGCCCCTAAAAACATGCTCTCACAGGGAAGCCATTTTGCCAAACTGTTTACCAAAACCGCTTCAGCTCCACCGGTTGAACTGTTCGTGGAGCTGAAGCAAAAAAAAATGGCTTCACTAGTGAAGTGAAGCCCTGCCAAACGGGGCCTACCAAACGGGGCCTAATAAGGTCAAGAATTTTAGTAACCAGATGCAATTACAATAAGCTTTTGTCTGACTTTTGAATAAGTATATCAATCAAAGGACCGTCTCGATGAATCGACTCCTAAACAAATTTATGTGCCTAACAAGGAGGTTTCTGCTACACCTATGCAAGGCATCAAACAAGAGTATCTTGTATATAATTGGCTCTATGGAGGTCTCGATTAAAGAGATCAAAGAGCCAATTGTCAGGGAGAACCAGGCTCATCAATCCACTATGCAAAACGTGGAGCAAAATTGCCTCTGAAGGTAGAAATGAAGTCGAGAGTAGTAAGCTAGAGTCCAATTACTTGGAACCAAGGTGGCGCCCTTCAGACTTGACCAAGATGCAACGACGCAAACTTCAGCATGCTCGTTGTAAGAAAATCGAGCAAGAAGCCTAGAGTTTCTTAAAAGACAGCCCTATACAATATCGCCCTTAAAACAAAACAACTGATAGCTTGAGATCGTTGCTTTGTTGCTATGTGTTTTAAAACTCGCATATGCCTCGCCTTAAAAACAAGGAGCCATATGTTGACAGCAAAAAGGGCTAGATGAGGTTATATTTACTTAGGAGGTTGAGATGTCAGAAGTTTCAAGTTGTGTGAGACTCCCAGGTCTCAGGAGTTGGCTTGGGCGTCGGAAGTTCCGACGTTCCCTATCCGACTCTAGCTATTTCCAATTCTGATCCAAAGTCCTCCGATCTCATGGAAAACTTACAGATTGCATTCTTGGAAGGTTTCCATTGGGATAAGTCCACACCCTCTCTCTCTCTCTCTCTCTCTCTCTCTCTCTCTCTCTCTCTCTCTCTCTCTCTCTCTCTCTCTCTCTCTCTCTCTGTGTATATATATATATATATATATATATATTAGAGGGTCATGCCCGGTTGAGGTATTCAATACACAATGGACAAAATCAATCTACCTTACCTTTTTTATCTTTTATCTCAAGCTCTTCCAACCCCCTTACTAGTCCATCACTTCTCTCGACGAGATTTGCCAGCGTTTTAAGTGACCTTGCCAATCCTAGAACACCTCCACCGTGCGTCTCCCCGCTAGGTCTTCCCGGGAGGTGTTTGCAGGTTTCGCGAGCGAAGAACGAGCATCTAATTAGCCTCGTCGACCTATTGGTCCACATCGACGTTGAGATCTTCCTTCACTGCGTGTGTGACCTCGAGCGATGCAGCCTCTATCAGTATGACCAAAATCAGGGTCAATACCTGCTAGTGTATGGTCATCTAATATTATTTGTCGTGACGAATATAAACGTCATTTTTCATATTGACACAATATTGTACGTCCAAGCACTTGTATTGTAGTACATTCCCTTAATTCATCTGTAGAGAGTTAATTCATCACCAATTGGCTGCGGGTTAACGAATGGAACATCCGAACATGCATACGAATCTAATCCAGGCTATGTATAAGCTGTGCTCGGCTTGCACGCATATGATCATTATTTAGATGCTACTAGCTAGCTAATTGAGCAATTTGGATTGTATGTATCATGCAGTGCATGGAAATGGCTGTATGATTGATGTATATAGGCATCCACCTTGGATCGATGGATGGCACACAGATAACAGAACATGATCAGGGTTTTGTTTTGGCCTTATTACAAAGTAATAATGCAGAGGGCTATGTATATGTAATAATATAATACAGGTAGCGCAGGCAGGCAGATTATTTGTTAACTAGGAGGTAGACGTGACGTATGCAGGCAATCAAGTCGGAATCGAAATCAAAATCAACATCTAATACAGGAGTGAGTATATAAATTCTATGAGCCGAAACCCTATATATATATATTGCTGGCTGCCAAGCGTATAGCTAGCGTCCCGGAAAGCATATAAAACCAGATATGCACATGGAAATCGAATCTGCCTATCACAACTGCAGACGCCCTCTTTGCCGAGTGCTGGGGGCACTCAGCAAAGCCAGGCAAGCACTCGGCAAAGGCTTTGCCGAGTGCCGCACTCGGCAAAGGCCTCTTGGCAAAGACTTTATCGGCAAAAATTTCTTTGCCGAGTGCCAAAAATCGACACTCGGCAAAGTCTTTGCCGAGTGCCAAGCCCGCACTCGGTAAAAAAATAACTGCTGTCAACATTTAACGCCGGCTTTGCCGAGTGTCTAGGGACTGGCACTCGGCAAAATTTGAATGTTTGCCGAGAGCCAGGGCTGAGCACTCGGCAAAGAAATAATTTTTTTAAAATCTTTTTAAAAATAGTCTTTGCCGAGTGGTACCATCTGGCACTCGGCAAAATTGACCTCTTTGCCGAGTGTCAGGTTGTGGCACTCGGCAAAATGTACCTCTTTGCCGAGTGCCAGGCTGTGACACTCGGCAAAATTGACCTCTTTGCCGAGTGCCAGGCTGTGGCACTCAGCAAAACTGGGGAAGTGGCTGTTTTTTGCGGCATTTTTTCCCAGCTTTGCCGAGTGCCACACCCCTGGCACTCGACAAAGACTTCTTTGCCGAGTGTTGGCACTCGGCAAAGCTGGAAAATTTGCAATTTTTTTTGTTTGCTGCTTTCCTTCGAAAGCAAACACGCAAAACTCATATATAATACATGAGACAGCACACAGGCATTTAGCATCACACAAAACGCATACATAATCCATAATACATCACAAGCACATTCAACATCCATCACAAGCACATCCTCCTGCATAATCCATCACACGCACATCCAATGTGCAAATCCATGACAACATCTAAGAAGTCTTCATCCAACACAAGTCCTAAATCAAGAAAAGTCAATGAAACATGAAGGGGCACCACCCATCGCCTTGATCCCAATGGGAACTGAAGGGGCACCTCCGTGCGGTGGTGGACTGTCCACCGGGTGTGTGTGTGTGTTGGCGAGGAGTCGGGTTCGAACCCGACGACTATTGCACAAAGAAGAATTGAATTCATTAGTATCTACACAAGCTAAAGGACTTGATCAACCATATATATATACTCACCGGAGTGCCTAGAGCCGGAGGAGTAGGAGGCACAACTGGAGCGAGCAATGATCGGGGCACCACCCACACCCGGGAGAGTGGTGCCGAGGCTCGACATGAATGAGAACATGTCCCGCATCCTCTGCGCCTCGGCCGCCCTCTGGGCCCTCGGGACCTCCCACTCGGCCCTCTCGGCCTCCCCTCTGGGCCCTCTCCTCTCCCTCTCGACCCTCTCGGCCTCCATCCTCTCCACGGTGGGCCTGCAATATTCAATCACCAACGTTTAAACAATGCAAATGCAAGGTACATATGTAAAAGTAATGAGCAATGAATGAAATAGAACTAACTTGGAGTGCCGCCATCTGCTGCAGTGTGCTCACACCGCCGAGGTCGAATGGGGACGGAGGAGCTCATGCTCTGTGCTCGGATCTCGGGCGAGGTTGGGCACAGAGGTCGAGTCGACCATGTTGGAGGCCATCCGAGACGGCCGTCTTTGCTTCCCTCCTCCGAGAGCCTCATCACGAGGTCGGTATCAAAGGGCTGGGTGGCGGGGTGAAAGTCCTCCCATGCATGCCGCTCGCGCCACCCGAGGCGTGGTCGGTGAGCTTCTGTGTGGACCTTCGTGTTGCTATACGCCTCGGGCCCGTTCTCCGGGTTGTAGAGCGGTGTCCGGGGCTGTCGCCTTGCCCTTGTGTGCCATGGCGACGCCATGAACTCGTTGCATTCCTGGCCATCATGCGATTGGGACTGCGAGGAAAACACAAAGATGATTAGAAGTAATGAGAATTGAGCGTTAGAACAAATAAATAAATAAGTGCGTAGCGTGTACCCGAGCACAGGCGGCATTTCTGGCGAGGGGGGGATTGCCTTGGTGGTGCGCCGCCCACCCATCTGCAGCGGCACTCCCGACGGAGGGCGTGCCTCTCCTCCACTCATCGGAGACCCACTTGTCCACGATGGCCGCATAACATCTCTCGTGCTGGCGCACCA